GGGTTCAGGTTGTATCTCCCATTCCCTCTCACTTTGCTCAGGCTGCGTTCATTGATCGCGGCTCCCCGGTCGTGGATAGGTCCCAGCCCTTCTATGGTCCTGGTCCCTCTCGGGATCTTACTGATCCGGTTGATGATATTGTTAATATATATCAACAGCGTAGCCCTGTCGTTGATGTCTCGCAGCCTTTTAACCCAGGCTTCAGGCAAGCTGTTAACCCAACTAATCCTAAAACTAATAGAAACCCCGGAAGGCGTATTGGACTGGGCATCTATGTGCCCGGCTCCGAGAACCGTTCTGGTCTTCGTAGGTACTTTGGTCGTCCCACCCGTCCTTCTCAGCATGTTCTTGACAAAGCCAGAGCTAAAGGTAAAGGCAGAGAGTCCAAAATTCCCTTCCCCCCTGGGCTCAACGTCACGTTTGATGCTACTAACAAGCCAGACCGCAGCAGAAGAACCGAGCCAGGGCCGAGCAATTCAGGCTCGCCAAGCTCATCGTCCTCAAGTTCAGGTGAGTCCAAAGCGTCTGGTCTTCCCCCTCCGCCCGAGGGCTGGAGAAGGGATCGTAACTACCATCCCAGGAGTCCTGTGCCCCGCCCTGTGCCTCAGGGACCTAACCCTACGGCTGCTCATCATATCAGGCCCAATACTGACAAGCAGCCAAGGCCACCCACTGGCACCCTCTCGGCCTCGTTCAAGAGAGTTCTGGCGAAGTGTCCTCCTAAGACTAAAACTAGGAGGGGTAAGGTCTCGAGGACGCTCAATACCCTGCTTGCTGGTCGGAAGACTCCGTCTCCCCTGGCTGCGGGCGCCCTTGATGGAGTCTCTTCTTCGAGAAGGTGAGTGTGTCATCTAACGTCATTCGTTACCTATTATCTCTTTGTCTTTAGAAACTTCATTCAAGTGAATGAAGTATACACAGGCATGAATTAACACATACATGTCCCAACTCTTTTGATAACATATTTCTTTTTAACAAACTTATATTTCCAATATGCAATGTGATTTTGATGTGATACATACTATTATGAGCCTGTGCCTGTATGAGTGTGCGTCTGTATAAGCGTGTGTGCGTCTTGCAAGAAGAGTGGGTAAGACTGAGTACCTACATACTATAGCCACCGTCAGATAGGAAGTGAGATCCCTTGTAAGTATTAGAAGAACAATGCAATTGTTCTTGGAACAAGGGGCTTATATAGGTGCTCTCACAGGACCTTCTCGAGTTGAGGTTAGCGGGCTAGAAAGGGCAACAAGTAGGGAGTAGAAAAGAGAGCCGAAATCCATTCAGACCTGCACAAAATTGTCATTGAAAGGTTGAAAAAATGTTTAAGGAGAGATTCCTATCTCTTAGCTGTCATTCGAAACCACTTACACGCAAAAACCAACCCCACATTCGCTCACCGCGGTAAACAACCCCCTACCCACAGCACCCAGCTCGGCCCCACTTTATTTCTGTTCCGACCTCACCTGCTCAATCGCCGAATTTTCCCACCACAGCGACAACAGCTCCCGCAACGCCGCCCCCCAGCGCACCACCGCGGTCACTCGCTCGCCAGTCCCACCACTTCCAATCCCAACACCTCACCTCACAAACCAAAACAAATCCCCCTCCCAACCGCCCACAATGAGCAGAACCCTCCTCCGCTCCCTCCTGGAGCTCCGAGCAACAGCCACCACCACCCGGCCTACCACCTCCCAGCTCCTCCGACCATTCCTCGTTCGGCACCTCCACCAAACCCCCTCCCAAATCGACCCCCTCCCCCAACAAACCCAACCAGAACAACCCCCGCCATCACCAAACCAACCCCTCGCCGTCTCCCCCATCCCCCGCTGCGGCGGCGCACCAAGAACAACCTCCCCCGCCACCCCAGAAACCCTCTCCCTCCTCCCCCTCCTCGCCCACCAGCCAGGCAAAAAGTACCTCCAGCTCTACATCCAAGGCCAAGCCTACCTCGTCACGCCCGGGGACCAGATCCGCCTCCCCTTCAAGATGCCCGGTGTCGCCCCCGGGGACGTCCTCCGGCTTAACCGAGCCACCGCCATCGGCTCAAGGGATTTTACTCTGAAAGGTCAGCCGTACGTAGACGAGAACCTGTTTGAGTGCCGGGCTGTGGTGGAGGGGACGGAGGCGGAGCCGATGCGCCTCAAGATCAAGAAGAAGCAGAGGTGCAGGAGGACAAAGACTGTGAGGAGCAAGCACAAATATACTGTTCTGAGGGTTAGCGAGGTGAGGATTAAGCTGCCGGGGCAGGAGGAGGAGGTATAGACCTGGTGGATATGAGGAGATGGGAGCTTTCGCACCGAGAAAGGGGAGGTGCACGTCGACACTTGGAATATGGACGGAGGGGAGTAGTCAAGAATAAGGGAGGCAAGCGCAAAGGGGCTGCGAATTGTAAGATCAGAAAAAGGTTGTCATATATGTACCATATTTCAAATGGCAAGTTATTTGTCGAGAAGTGTGAATTATCGAGATTGTGTTCCGTTGTGACCTCAAGCTTTCAGCTGCTGAGCTGGACCTTGTTGTTGTTATGTTTCCTTCTGCATCGTTCACTGACAACAGATGACACCCTTACATACAATCGTTTGACGGCAAATAACCACCATGTAGCCCCGGTTTCTTTTGAGGTCCCCATATCCCTCTACCCAACTACCTCGACGTTGGTGATTTCGCAGCTTTGGTGTTTACTTGCTCACCACTACTGGAAACCCCAATTCTCGCTGATGCCTCCCAAAGCAACCCTCCGTTGTCGCTAGCTTTGTGATGTTATGTGCTAGTAAGCTCGATACTGGAGCTTGACTGGTCAACCCCATTCGTGTTGCCCATGTGCCGATCGGAGTCATTTTTTTAGTAGCCGACGCTGCCGTGCCTGTCCTCAGACACATCCTGTCCCCGACCGCCTTGGTACACTTCCTACGCCAGACCATCTCACGACTATGCTTGCAAGCATCTTCAAGGGAGAAAAATTGGTTAGCCGCATCACTTCTCGGTAGTTTATGATAGTCCGCCGCAACATACCCGAGATAATCACCGTCAATCTTTCCAATGGCAAACATCTCCCCCACCCCCGTGCGCAAACCCATGATCTTGATGCGCACGTGCGTCCCAGGCTCGATTACTATATCGGAGTGGTTGGTAAACTGAGGAGGTGTGGCGTTTGCGTCGTATTGGATATCAGGCGGTATCGACTATCAAACCAACACTCATGTCAGTAACCCATCAAGGTGACCACAGAGGAGCGCGCGGGTTATGCCTACGTGAGTAGAGACAAAGATGCTCAATGGGCCGGCGTTGGAGAAGAAACCATGCTGATTAACACTAGTACAGATGGCATCGACAACTTCGCCCTTGAACGGCCTCCACACGACCGCGCGGTAGCCCACTGTGAACTCGGCCATGCCGCTGCCGGGGAGAATGCGCCCCTCGGACAGATCGAAGGTATCCATGATTGCGATGATGTAATAGTCGCCCGTGCATGTTCCCTCAACATCCTTGACCAGCTTCGTCGTGACCAGCTCGGTCATGTTTTTGCCAAAGTAGGATGGGTGCAGCAGGACACGCCGCTCGAGATTGTGAAGGAAGAACATGTTTGGGCGCGAGTGACGGTTGTCGCGTTAGGGTAGAATCGGTGGAATATAGAAGCTTGAGAAATCTCGAAGGTAGCTATTTGAAGCCAGTCGACTCTTTTCGTGTTGGTCTGCAAGTATCAGGTTGGCGCAAATCTTGTTCGCTCGAGGGACTGGTGGGTGTCTGCTGTCCCAAGGACAATGCCCGAAGCGAAGGCTCCACCGCCGCGCCTTTGGGCGCCTCTTTGTTGGTAATTAGCAAAGATAACTCTTCGATCAAGACGAATAAAGAATTAATGATTATGTTGCTGCCGTTTTGATGTGCCGGGTGGCAGATTCAGGTGCTGAGATCGAAGGTCGACGGGGTAGTGAATGCGACTGCGATCGCAACGCAGTTGCAAGGCTGACGTTGTACGCGGTTGGGACAGCACTTATGGGGACGGGAGTACCGCGCTGACGGAAAATTGTTTGGGGGGACTCTTGCGGCTTGAATTAAGCTATTGGTCCGTGCGTCGGAGCTGCAGGAACCGCTTTTTCGCTTCGAGAGCTCCCGTATGCCTTGGCGCACCAGGCCTGACGTTTTGATGAAGATAAGTTCTGTAGTTGGTGCATTTTGGGAATAGGAAACATACGTCTGATTGATAGAATTCAATACATGATAATCTAATATCTCTTGGGTATGTGCATGGCCGGTTGTAGAAGCTGGAGTGAGAGCCATAGGCAGGCGGGATGTCACATGCCACAGCGAGTGTGCTCTAGGCACCTCCAATTCTCCTCAAAGCAGTGGCTTTCGGGTATGTCCCAAACCTCCAACGGATCTCCCAGACGTGCATCTTGACCAAAACATTCGAGTCCGTCTGATGTGGCATTTACCCGCCCAACCCATCTCGCTGTAGCTGCCAGCGTCGCTGCCCCATGAGGAAGCAGCCCTGGCTCGCATTTTAGTGCCCCGCTTGGCGCCGTCCGAGGCACAGGTCAACTGTCAGCTCCATGGAGGTACCCAACAACTTCGAACGCGCTGCGAATTGGCCAACGTCGTCAGATCATCATTGCACAGCTGCCACGCCTCATCGCCGTCTGAAATACTAAGCCTCTTCTATGTCCCACGTCCGGACGCCGTGGCCTTCTCTGCCCTGATTTGTCCTGGACCTTGCCGCACCTGATCTTATTCTCTACCAACCATTTTAGTTAACTGGCCCACCGACTGGCCAATTGCGCGACTTTTCCAGTCAGGATTCTTCGGCATCAAATATCATAGCAATTCTCATCAACCCCTTTTCACGTTCAGGCTTCACCACCTAACCAACCTACATCTGACACTTCTAGCCCGCCATGTCTCTTGACCTCGAAAAGCAGCTCACCTTTGTAAGCATATTCCCTTGGCCAGAAAACACCACACAGTTCGTTTCGGTAGCCGCTAGAATGGGAGGCTAATTGTTTTGCCGGCTGTAGTATGGTGCATATCACCATAACCAAGTGAATATTGTCATTCACATGGTATGCGTACCGTTGATCTTATTTTCAGCATTCGCATTGGTAAGCGTAGTTCATCATGATGTCAAGTTATGATTTCTGACATGTTGTGGCAGGCATCAAACTATGGCCCTTTTTTCACACTGCCATCATGGCTCTCACTACCCTATCTCACCCCAAACCTGGGCACATTCGCAGCCATGACATGGGGAGCTTTATATCTCCTTCTTGAACCTGTCGCTGGAGGCGCCCTGGCCTTGATCTGCCTCGCCTCCGCGGCAGGCACAAACTACCTCCGCATCCAATACCCGGAGAGTGCCAACCAGACCGCCCTTGCCATCCATATCGTATGCTGGATCGCGCAGTTTGTCGGCCACGGCAAGTTCGAGGGTAGAGCCCCGGCCCTGCTGGACAACCTCTTCCAGGCCATCTTCCTCGCTCCCCTGTTCGTCTGGCTCGAGCTTCTTTTCATGATCGGATACCGCCCCGAGCTCAAAAAGCGTGTCGACAAGGCTGTCGCGGTTGAGATTGCCAAGTTCCGCGCGCGGAAGGCTGAACAGGCCGAGAAGGCAAAGAAGGCTCAATAAACGGCTTGCCGGCTCTCTCGAGCCACGCCGCCAGGCACTTTACAGTGTCTTCGGTTGCGATGGGAGGAGGCAAATCAAATTACATGCGCTGGCCACAACAGCCACGGCCTTATTACCGAAAACAGAGTCGCGGTCTGTGGGGAAGAGGCTGAATCAGGAGCTTGCTAGCCCTACGAGTCGATTGGAAGCCCAAATACAGGAGAGGAGCGATACTAACAAAGGAACTTATAGTATCGCGACAACGGACGAGTTGTTTTTCATTGTTTTTGTGAGATTGGATCGATCATCAACCAAGGCGCCATGGAGTGCAAAGATGGACATGCATTTGGGAATTTGTATATTTTATTGTTTGGGATTTCTTCCTCTCCGGCTCGCTTTCACAGGCCTGGAGGACTGGAAAGAATCCATTGTCTTTTTGAGTACGCATCGGTGGTGTGAAACAAGCACACAAGGAACAACAGGAGCATCGTGGGGGTTAGGGTTAAAATGTGCATTATCAAACATAGCGGGCAAACACCAGGCACAGACTGTCTCTTTCAAGGTTGGGCACAACATTCTCAACTTGCACTTCAGCACCAAATCAGCCACCCAAACACACAAGCATCTTGGGCTTACCTCATACCAGCTCGTCGTGCACGACCACTCGTGACTGGTCCCTTAAAAGCAGCAAAAGTGACACATCATCCATATCCCTGCAAGGCTACGCGCCTGCCCCATAATAATTTCTTTATCGTTATCAGCAGCCACCAGCAGCTCTTGCCTTGCGACAACACACAACACCTCACACCGCGACAGCGCAATCCCACAAAGACATCAACATATTTTTTCCTCTCTATCGCAAACAAAGAACTCAAATCCCCGCAAATTCTAACACGCGGGAAGAATCCGCTCTTTTTTCTCAAGTAACAACAAACCCCAAGATCAAAGCCAAAACGAAAACTACCCCTCGTTCTCCCCGCCAGCCATGGCGTCTGCCGCCTCCTTCTCTATATCCTACCTTGTGAACTACCTAAAGTGTAAGTAGTTCCATTCCTTTCTTTCCCCCTCCCTCCACCCTCTCAGCCCCAACCAAGATCAGTCGCAAGACACTTCACCCAAAAAACATACTATTCCAAAACACACACCCACACACACTATATATACATTTCCCCCGCGTCACCCACCATGGGACTCTTCCACTGGGATACCGACATCAACTTCACCCCCGGCTCCCACCACTACAAGTGGAACTTTGCCGCCGGCCGCTTCGAAAAAGCTACTAACTGGTGGAACCCCTTCGCCTCCTCCTCAGCCTCCTTCCCCGACCCCGTCGTCCAACATGTCCAGGACATCTTCGCGCCCGGCTCTCAGTTCAGAGAAGACGTGGGCTGGTTCGGCGGCTGGATCTCCAGCGTGGTGAACAAGAGCCTCTGGCCGACCCTCGAGCCGACGGTGAATAGGTTCGCCGAGTTCCTGCACCACTCCCCCGAGATGGTCTCCGCGATCGTGGTGCTGCTGGTGATTTTTGTCTCGATCCAGATCGTCAGGTTGATGCACAGGGTGGTGAGGTTTTGGACGAGGTTGCTGGTCAGGCTGGCTTTTTGGGGGGTGGTGGGGTTGGTGGTTAGTATGGCGTGGGATAGGGGGTTGGAGCAGAGCATAAGGGACTTGGTCTTGGTGGGCACGGGGTTGTACAGATGGGGAAAGAGGGCGGGGCAGGTCTTTTGGGATGAGTATGAAAAGGCTCAGAGGGAGGTTCAGGATGATTGGAAGGGTTGGTGAGGAGGAGGTTTTGTTGGTCGTTGCGAAACGGAGAGTGTGTGTGTGACAAAAGCAGTAGGAAGGAGACATGGTTATGATTGGACTGGGAAAAGGAGTAATAGGGGTTGAAGGGCGGACATTTGGAATGACGATTTGGCTCTCGAGGACTTGGCTAAGGTAGCATGATCAGGAGTTTGGTGGCTGGTTTATTTGGGATTTATTTGGGCGGGGGATTAGAGTGGTGGATTATCTTTCGGAGAACATATCAACCTTACGAACAACATGGCACCACGACAATGGACGACGTACTTTCGCTCTTGATAGCAGCAAGCCAGCGCTGCCATGCCATGTATCACAAGAAACAATGCTAAGCTTTGTACTTATCTTGCAAACGTATATTGAACTTGTTTGCCATGACTAGCGTCTTCTTATTTTATAAACCCCAACGCCTTCGCTATGCGTTCCTATCCATGCACCCAAAGTCCCAAATCATCAGAAAGCAAACCCGAACTCCCAGTATGACCCCATACTTCTCACTATCATGTCCAGATAGTCAACTAACCTTCTGCTTACTCCTCATCATCGTACTCCTCATCAGGAATCTCCTTGGGTTCCTGAGCCTCAGCCCACTGAATACACTCATCAATATAGCTGAGAATGCCGCCAACGCTATCCTCATCTGTGCAGTCCAGTTTGTGGTAGTGAACCATGCTAAAGTTCTCGAGCAGCTGCGCAACAGCATTGTTCAATCTCTTGAACCCAGCGCCCGACATCAAAGCATCCGTCTCAGACTCAACAGGAGGTTGATAGTCAACCCCGGCTTTCCTAGCCTCAACCTCCTGTGGGTCCTCCTCGATCAACATCGTATCCGGTACGAGAAACTTCTTGAAGTCCTTCTTCCTGATTTGGTCCTTGACAAGGTCCATCTTGCTCAAGATATTCAAGTGAGGCAACCCGAGCATGTACATGGAGCTCAGGGCGCTCAGAGACCCAGCAAAGTACTTGGCGCGGTCGACGACAAAGGTTGACTCGAGGAGGTAAGCGGCGCAGAGCCTGATGTCGAGATTGCCGGGGGAGCGGAGGAAGTTGACCAAGGCGGGGAGGACGGGGTAGTGGGTATAAAGTTCGATTTGGCCGGGCATGTCGAAGATGATGAGGTACTCTTCTGTAACGGAGTTGAGGGACTCTTCGAGGAAGGAGAGGTTCTCCATGAGGAACTCGAAGCAGTAAATCAGGCCGCCGTTGGGCCCAAGCTTGAGCTCGTCCATGACATCTTCGACGGAGATGAGGTCGCGGATGTCGAGGTCTGGGGTGTGCTCGAAGGACTCGGCGGCGGGGTCGAGATTGACGTAGAAGCAAGAGCGGCGGTTTAGTTGGAGATGTGTGATGAGGGAGGCGCAAAAGGTAGACTGGGAAAGGCGTGTTAGAGTTACATTCTGCGAAAGAGGCGCTTGGTGATAGCTTTTGCTGGCGAGGGTATCAAGGAAGCCATACCTTGCCCGCGCCCGCGGGGCCCATCACCATCACTCCGAATTTAGACATGCTTGCGGCGGCTGTAGCTAGTTACAATGATCTCAAGGCTGAATGAGACGGGTGAGAAATTACAGCCGTTGGATTTGGCAGTAACCAATAAGCTTCGTGAATTGAGTTTACTGCGTAGCAGTAGCAGTGAGCAAAGGGGACCGGAATGATGCGCTGACGACACAACCCAGGCAAGACTCGATATCTTTTCTGACCCGCCCGTATTGCGTTGGAAAAAATTGCCCCGCAGTGGGGGTTCCTAAACGTTCAGGAACACATTCCAGTCCGTGCTTCCCCACCAAAAACCTTCCATCGAACAATTGCGCAACCAGCACCGTGGAGTCCAGAAAGTCAAGGCTGAAAGGGGTGAATTATCGACTTGAGATTCTCCTGAACTCCTAAGACTAGTCCAGCTAGTTCAACAAACGAGATATGACAGCTGCGAGCATGTGGAGAGAGGCTGGTAAGACCATCGGACTCGGAGTGTTATCGGCGTTGCAACTGTGACTCTACAAACACACTTCGGAGGAAAATGGTATCTGGCTTATACTGCTTGCTTGGCACCTTGCTGGATAGCGCGTTTAGAGCAACGTCTGAGGAATTGCGCAATGCTTGATGTACCTTGAACTCGGGGCCCTTTTCCAAGACAGGCGCGGGACCGCCTGTCAAGTTCCAAGCACTGTCTGGACATCGCAGCTAATGCAGGGCCTGGCACGGGGTGATGCTGGACATTGCATAGCGAAGTAATCTGCCAGGTCAAAATACCCTCAGAGGTTACAGACGAGGGTATGCCGTATTCAAATCTCGTGCGAGACGCGCAAATGGTGAATCTCTGAGACCGGTGCGCCTTGGGGACCTGTGAGGGGCAGCTATGGCGCAATTTGACGAAAAAGACAAGCCCAATGTACACAATACCCGGTCGGCAAGTGATAAGCCTTCCCCATACAGAATAAGAAGGGTGGTCACCAAGAAGCAGAGGTAGAGACGGGCACCCCTCAACGATGTGTCATAGTACCGCGGATACTTCGGACTATGGTTCTCGGAGTGCTTGATTGAGGTCATGATCGCCATCTGTAGTCATTTTCCACCTGTTTTTAGGGTCTCTGTGAGTTGCGTGTCCCGGCCGGTGAGACCGGAGTTTTTCAAGAAACCTCGATGACCCGGCCGAGCGAGGGCATTATTTTGTGTGGCGGATGGGGCGCCAGTGCCCCGATACCCCGCCCTTTCCGTGTCCCAACCTTGCGGTGAAAAATGGCCGACGCTTGGCCCTTTCGGCCATTCTTGTTCAGGGACCTCCCCAAAATTCCTCAAATACTCCCGCACCCCCGAAGGAGTCTTCTTTCTCCCACCTTCTTTCAAGCGCTCTCTTCTGTACTCCCGCTCTGGTCTTTCGCCGTCCCTGAGTTGTCTTCGTTTGGTCCAGCCCGTCTTTTCGTTTTCTCAAAGGTGAGTCTCGATATCACGACCGGCTTTGCGCTTCCCGCCAGGGAAAAGAAAAAAGCCAGATCGTTGCCCCTCGTCTGTTTTCCTATCGCACAACACAAGCACCCTTCTACCTTCACGAGAAACACCGTCACTTCGCAAGACGACCAGACAATCACTCAGGTGAACTCGCGTTCTTTTTCCACGACAATAAACCGAATCCTACGAGCACAATCGCTTCTTTGAGCTGTTGAGACTCGTCGACTTTGGACCCCCCAACCCCGCGCCAAATCTCCCTTCTCTCCTACTCCTCCCCCAAACCAATCAATTCCGCACACCGGAAACATTTATACCCCACTTGGCCCCCCTCGAAAGCAACGTCAACTAACTCGACCTGTCTCTAGACACTTCCCCTCCTCTCTACATAATACCTCACAATGGCTGCCAACGGTACGAACGGCTCCAACGGCGCCAATGGCGATGCCAGCGGCATCAGCGGGTGGAAGCACTACAACGAGGGTACCTTCCTCTTCACCGTGAGTAGACCCAACAAGGGCCACAGCATTCCGAGCCTTCCAATGCTGACCGCCCTTTACAGTCCGAGTCCGTCGGTGAGGGTCACCCCGACAAGATCGCCGATCAGGTTTCGGACTCTATCCTCGATGCCTGCCTGGCCGAGGACCCCCTCTCCAAGGTCGCTTGCGAGACTGCCACCAAGACCGGCATGATCATGGTCTTCGGCGAGATCACCACCAAGGCCAAGCTCGACTATCAGAAGATTGTCCGCAAGACCATCAAGGACATCGGCTACGATGACTCCTCCAAGGGCTTCGACTACAAGACCTTGAACCTCCTCGTCGCCATCGAGGAGCAGTCCCCCGATATCGCTCAGGGTCTTCACTTGGATGACCGCCTCGAGAACCTCGGTGCTGGTGATCAGGGTATCATGTTCGGTTATGCCACCGACGAGACCCCCGAGCTCTTCCCCCTCACTCTCCTCTTCGCCCACCAGCTTAACGCTGCCATGTCTGCCGCCCGCCGCGATGGCTCTCTCCCCTGGCTCCGTCCCGACACCAAGACCCAGGTTACCATTGAGTACAAGCACGACAACGGTGCCGTCGTCCCTCTCCGCGTCGACACTGTCGTCGTCTCTGCTCAGCACAGCGAAGACATCACCACCGAGAAGCTCCGCAAGGAGATCCTCGAGAAGATCATCAAGAAGACCATCCCCGCCAAGTACCTTGATGACAAGACCATCTACCACGTAAGTTTTCTAATTTATGAAAAGCATCTTTTGGGCAAATCCTAACAGATTCTAGATCCAACCCTCTGGTCTCTTCATCATTGGTGGTCCCCAGGGTGATGCCGGTCTCACTGGCCGCAAGATTATCGTCGACACCTACGGTGGCTGGGGTGCCCATGGTGGTGGTGCCTTCTCCGGCAAGGACTTCTCCAAGGTCGACCGCTCCGCCGCCTACGTCGGCCGCTGGATCGCCAAGTCCCTCGTCGCTGCCGGCCTCGCCCGCCGTGCTCTTGTCCAGCTCTCCTACGCCATCGGTGTCGCCGAGCCCCTCTCCATCTATGTCGATACCTACGGCACCTCGGAGAAGAACTCTGATGAGCTCGTCGAGATCATCCGCAACAACTTCGACCTCCGCCCCGGTGTCATTGTCAAGGAGCTCGACCTTGCCAAGCCCATCTACCTCCAGACTGCCAAGAACGGCCACTTCGGCACCAACCAGAGCTTCACCTGGGAACAGCCCAAGGCTCTCAAGTTCTAAGTGGGATATAGTATCGCAGAAGATTCAACTTCTTGCTGCAGATTCAATCTCATATAAGTCTATGGACAATTCCTTTTTCTCCTCTTTCTCTTCCTATTTCTGGCATCTCTATGGATAAAGCATTACTGGCGTACGGTTCTCAACAAACCTGGGTGGGCGGATAGACATATATCCATGTGATTTTCTGCTTGTTTATTTTGGCGGTAACTGTATGGGAACGCTTATAGCGTGGTTTGGGTCATAGTGATGGTCTCGGAGTTTTGACGAACACAAAAAGGGTCGCCGCGGCAAAAGCGGTGTTGGGCGGCGGCGGTACAGGCGTCTTTCAACAAAGACATTTGCATGAGCCAAAAAGGCCAAAAGGTTTATGACATTTGCGATACCCCATGGGGCTAACGGCATTTGAGGAAAGCACATCGGCGTTTGGGGGAAAACAAAAGAACTTCAACATCTTTTCTTTTCCTTTATATTTAGACGCTGAACCGTCTTTTTGGCTTGGGCTGGGAAGTATGGGGACTAAGGCAACACTTAGAGAGATCTCGAGCCCGTGGACTTTCGCAGGACCAGGGCGAGGAAGATGTAGGGTCGCTCTCGGGGGAAACAACGAGCGAGTGAAGGTTGGGGAGGTACCTAATAGATTCAAGGGAGGGGGAGTAGTTAGCATTGTCTTCTTTGACACCCAATGAAGAGCTAGCCTTGATCAATCATGCTGCTACGGCAATGTCCGTGAATGAGAAGTCCCAAGTATTGTGCCTGCTTGTTCCACGTGTCGAGGACATTGATGTTCTCGGGGCAGATTAGATCGAGCCATGCCGACGGGCTCGAGGGACAAAGAAACGTGAGCACAAGCTCTCGCATAGAGCCGAGACATCACTTGGACCCTGTGTTGTTTGACCACCTACCCATGGTGTCTGAGACAGAAAGACGGCCGAGGTTCAACGTCTCTTGATCTCATCGTAGCGACGCCGGAGATGTTTGTCAATGCTGTAGGAGGGCACAGGCTGTTTGTCACGGCACCATCCATCCATATCTCTGGGAGCCGAGTTGGTTGGAATTTGTTTTAGCCCCGAGTTTGCTGCATTGATCTGCGAGATGTGTTTTGGCGTCTGCTTCAGCACTGTTGGACCCAAGATATCGAATCTCATACCACGGGCCCATCAAACAAATAAAATGCGGTTCCTGAGCGGAGTGCCCATGGTAGCATCAGCAATGATTAGTGGTGCACCACACATCCACTGTGATTTGTTGTGCAGCAACCTTCAAGTTGAAATGAGGTGCACCTTTTATTCGGAAAGGATGGGTGCATCATCCACCCAGTCACCCAGTCGTGCTCAAGCTAACCCCGGAAGCCCCCCTTTGCTGTACTCCGAACCTGCATCTAGGATGCAGCTACTATTCCACTGCTTCAAGCTGTGTGTGCTCCATCCCCGAGGTACACTCCGCAGTCTGAATGCATTTCATGTTCAAGGATATATCTCAAACAAGGCTATCTCGGCCCATTCTCTTCATAAATACTCTGCCAAGAGTCGGCCAAACAAACACGGGCTCGTCCCGGAGTCTCGTTAGACAGCCAGCGGTTCGGAGCAGCACGCGTCCTTCCTCTTCCCTCCATCACGACCAGGGCTCACGGACTCGAGTCCTCCTCGGGCGAGACCAAAGTGGAGGAAGGTGCGAAATAAGCGACGCCATCACCACCTGGAGTAATACTGGAGCCGGACAATTTGATGAGCGGAGCCGAGGTCACGGCTGCGAGTTCCTGTTCCATTTTCTTTTCCAACTTTTTTTTTGACACACCCCGATCGATCTGCGAGGAAGGAAATCAGGAACGGGGGAAGGCTGTGGGGCTCATTCAGCAGGTTGCACGCACCCCCACCTCCTGCCATCACCAGCGCTGCGAAGCTCGAAGTTCACCGTTGGACAGCTGGGGTGACGGCAGTGACTGCTTGGCCCCGGTCACTTCCTGTTGCATCCATCTTTTAGTGCCTGCCGGCAATCTCCAATCTCTCTTCTTGATTGCCCTGCACTTTTTTTCTTCTCGTTTTCTTGCTGATGGTAACGCGACTTCTCTCCCATCTCACTCGTTTCGACATCTCTGGCCCAGTCGCCCTCACTGTCGTGTTCGCCGACGCTTCGCCAACTGCGCCCCGGTTCCGCCCAAAGCCGCGTTTTTGTCGACATCGCACGATCCGCTCCCACTTACACTCGCTACGCCACTATTTACACACGAGTGGTGATCCGCCGGCTCTCCATGGCCAAACCTTGCCAGACGCCAATGCCGTCAGTCTAATCTGTCAAGTTAGAGGCTACCAGTCTGCGACGAGGGCCCGTCCCGTGCTGTGATTTACCCTTTGGCCATTGCCCACACGTTGCTCCGTCCGACGTGCTCCCGCCACATTGGAAGCTCAAGCCAGCCAGAGTCCTCGGGTATTTGCAGCCCGAAAGCCCACCGTGTCGCATCTCTGCTTCCCCCTTTTCGGACCTTTCTGGTTGCACCACCGACACAGTACTCGCCAAACGGTACACGTACGGTTACTATTTTGCCAGGGCAAGGCACGTAGCGTGTGCTACTGCTGCCCGGGCGTTGCGGCCAGGAAGTGTCAGTGTTGGGGTCAACAGGCGGTTGGTTGGGTGAGTGAGAGTGAGCGTGGTGTTGGTCGTGGGCGTCACTTCCTCCGCATCCGGTCCCCTCCCGCATAAATACACACCAGCCCCTAGCAACAACCGCCCAAACGACTGCTGAATCTCCGCTCGGGAATCGATTGTCCGCCATGGCTTCCATGGAGGCCGCAAACGCTCGCTATCACAATGGCCATCAACAGCAGCAGATCGGCGGCCCGCCCCTGCCCGCTTCGCCTACTCTAACGAACCCTGATATGATACTGCCGGACGAGATTGATCAGAGCTACTCCCCCGAAAAAGATCTTGACGGCCGTGGCCACTCGCCGCTCGGCATGTGGAAGGGCACACACGCAGCTGCGATATCTGCCGACATGCAACACATATTTTCAACTAATTCGGGAGGGAGCACGGGGGGTCTGTCTTACGGCCTTAACGCACCAGCAACGCCGACGACACCTATTATATATGGCAACGGAACCATGCTGTCGGACATTGGGGAGGTTACGGAGGTGGAAAGCACGCCGGGGAAGCCGTCTCCAACGCGAAACAAGGGTCGAAGGGCGACATCGCTCACACGTCGAACCGGACTGGATGCCACGCTGCGATCCTCCCCTACAATAGGAGCAACATCGGCCATGCAAAAGTCGAAGCAGATTGCCGCAGTCACACGTGAGCGCAGAGCCAGCATGGAGAGTACGAGTACGATAACAACGGAGAATCAGGCCGGATTATTCGCCGACTTTGACGATTCCGCTAGCGTGGAGGACAGCGTCTTTCAAGGGGATGATGAGGAAAGCACCGCCTCCTCTTACCACGAGGGAAGGCTGGCTGTTGATCCTGACAGGTTAGGGGTAACCAGGATGACCAGCATGGATCGACTCAGCACTTATTCGACAAGCTCTTTGAGCCGGCGGGCCGAGGAGATTCTGGCAAATGCGAAACAGCGGCTCACGGTATGTTTGGGAGGGAAAAGGTGCTTAGAGATGACCTGCTGACTAGATTCTAGACGATGGAAAGTAACTTGACTCGTGCGCGAAGCTCTTTACACAACAACGCATACGGGTCTGACGGTTCGACGCCGTCACCACCATTTCAAAGAGCCGCAACAGTAGCGCAACCACGAGATGCGGCCACAATCATCGCTTCAGGTGCTGCCGCGATTTCAAACCAGGCTTCTTCTGGACACACGCGAATATCGAGTGACATTGCTATGCGCAACGGGCTGCCATACCGGGTCGCTGTACCGAGGTCACAAAGTGCTATGGGTGTATCAGGCGGATATAGGCAACCTCTGGTCATGTCACGCAGCGCCGATCAAATTCGTGAGGAGATCGATGATGAGCACGGCCGTCCGACATACAATATTCCGCCAGCCAAGAAACCAGGTCCACACGCTCTGACGGAAGATGAGGTTGCCCAACTCGAAGGCCCGGACAATGAAAGTCGAAGCGCCAGGATAGAGGAGTTTCTCAGTCCCACCTCTGGGTCGTTTAGCAGCAACGAAAGCCGAAGGAATTCTCTGCTGCGATCCACCTCTTCTGCTCAGATGCGAGATATCAAGGATCAAATGAAGGATCTTAAGGGGAAAATCTCAACATTACGCGAGCAAGCCCGAGCAGACAATCTCAAACGACGGAGCTTGCAGAGCCTCAGAACGCCGAGTCCGTTCACGTATTCGCAAATGGACCAGTGGTACACGGAACCCCCTTCCAACAGGAACTCGATCGCTCTGACAGGCAGCGTATCGGGGAGGAACCCCTGGAATGGAGAAGAGTCTGATCTTGATGGCGATGTCAAGGACAATGCTCAAGTCAGTCTCAGGGGTAGCCACCTGGATGACGTGACGGGTATTTCTCACGGCACACAAACACAAGGCGAACTAGACCTGGACGACTACCGGGCCTTGGAGACGGACGATCCCATGCATACTGCACGCGAGGAAGTGAGTCCCGATGACGACGATGTCTCGGACATGCTCACAGAGAACGGTGACGTGGATGACGAACAACTAGAAGACGAATTCCAGGACGCCGACGAAGATATCAAGAGCGAAAGTGGAGAATCACTGTATCACGATACTGTCCAACACCAGATCTCCCACGAAGATCGCGAGGACGCATTTGATTACGAGCATTTCTTCCTGCATAGCGCTATGGGCACCATGAGCCGCCAAAAGCTGGAGAGACGAGGCAGTGTAGACAGCTACACGTCAGAAGATTCGGTGGAAACCACGAGAGGCCCCACGAGGACGGACGACTACAGCGACAGCCCTAGCAAGTCCCTATCTCCCATGAGCAGGCGGAACAGTAGGGATTCTGTTTCGACAGTAGATACCTTCGCTACTGCCGAAGAGGCTAGGTCACGCAAGTCACCGGTCACACCAGAAATGGGCTATGGCTCGGATGGCACGTTTCCCGGCTTCTCTAGGATATCTATATCCCCAGATCGCAACAGAAGTCGATCTGTCAATTCTGTCAGGACAAAAAAATCATCATTCAGCGCCGGGAGTTCTCACCATGCCTCGGGATCTGGGGCAACCCATCCGCATATGGCTGGGGATAGCGACGCTTCCATTTCATCGATACCAGAGGAGGGTTCGGAGGGAGGCGCACATCAAACTCCACGGCAACCGATTCTCAGGAGGCCCACGTCTGTTTCCGCATTCTCATCTCTCCATCGACCATCCGTAGCATCACTTGACTCTCAAGGGACCAACCGGAGCTTTCCACTAGTTCCCAGCAGCAAAACAAAACGAGCCAGCAGCAGTGGCATGCTCACACCCAGTGACTCACCCGATCACGAACTCAAAAGTCTTTCTGAGAGTTTGATGAGTGAGACGGCCAGCGTCTATGAGCAAGCGAAAGCCGGTGGCGAATCCAGCATCGGTCCCAGGGCGAGGGCTGCCAGTGTAGCTAGCACCTTCACCGCTGGAGGCCTTGGCCTGCCTAGGGAAAAGGCCTTGCCGCTGCAGGAGCTGCTCAGGGAGGATAAGTTCCTCGTGGAGAGGCTTGTGGCAAACTTGGGCAAGTGTGTGCTGGGTCTGACGGAGAATGGGAGGGCGAGCATGGAGAGCAGGCAATTCAGGCGGAGGATCGAGGCTGCGAACCGGATATTGGAAGGGTTGGGGGAGCCACCCGAGTGAAGAGAATTGTGTCGCATGATGAGCACGACATTGCATTCATCATTACTAGACACGCGAGCATCTGGCATATTCTGGAAACGCTGTTTGAATGGGTGGCTCGCTCAGCTCTGTCACCATAGCCCGGCGATGCTGGTCGCTTTGGTGGCACTGTGTCGTTGTGTGAGTGTGTAAGGCATGGCATGGCATGGCATGGCATTGGCATGGCTTTGCGTCGGGACGACGAACGACAAATGAAACATGAACGGACGAAACGGACGTACTTGAAAAGTTTTATATACACAAAAGCGGATGGGTTTTATTGGTGGTGGTGGGATCATTATCTTGGGGGGGGGGGGGGGGAGGGGGAGAGGGAAGGTGTGAGGAGAGGTTGTGCTGTTGTGTTGCGATATCACTTTTTAATGCTTAATGGAAAAGCATACAGCGGATGTTTCTTTTTTTTCTCTTCACTTCGATATAAGGATGTGGTGGGTGCTGGGTGATTCTGCCCTCACCCCTGATAGCTTGTGAGACTTGGTGTCTGAAGATTATCATTTCTTTCTTTTGTTTGTTGCTGTTGTTTGTGGTGGCGGATATTCTTGTACATGGTATTTTAAGAAGATGTTGGTTTCGATACCCCTTTGTTCTTGTCTTTTTGTGTTGACGTTTAGAAATATGATAGGTTAACGTATAAAGATTACTTTTTGATATGGAGGTATAGTTTCAATAAGAGATAGGATATGGGATTGAGTTGTAACATATGATGTAAAAGAAAAATAAATGAAAAAATGGAGAAATGGAAAAAAGAATGGAAAAAAAAAACCAAAGGCACGCAAGATAAGCTCGACAGTGGCCCTGCCCAGTTTGAAAAGACCAAAAAGCAAAGATTTAATTGAGTTGTATTCTTATTATGTACCTAGCTAGGTGGTGATGCCTCATGTCTCACTTGGCTGTGGAGAGAATGGAGGTAATGGGAAAACAGGCGACTTTTTCAGCTGAGCAACTCTTCATTCAAGCCAAAGAGAAACGACATGTTCTGAGAAAGAAGAAACAACACAGTGATTTGATGCGTTTTCCATTTTACTCTATGAATCTTTGACGACCACTGATGATGCGGTCTTCTATAACATCACAGGACTCCCGGTCGTCCCCCTTTTACAAACTTTCCTTACACTCGCAACTTTTCGATACGCATAGCTTCTTGCTCACGATCAAAACAGAGAAAACACCAAAACAAAAACAAAACAAATCCTCACAGATAGCGGGAAATCTAGTCATCCTTGAAAGCCCCCTCCCTCGCCTTTTGCGCATCATCACTCGTCCCCTCCTGCCGTGGGCTGTTGGCGATAAGCCGCTACACATCACCACCGTCAGTCCATACAAGCTACCAAAACCAAAGGGCTTAAAGGGGTCTACTTACCACCAAATTCCTCAACAACACCGCAATAGTAACCTTGCCAATGCTCGGCACATAAATACTCGCCTTCTCCTTCACCGCCGGCCCGTCAAAGTTCCTGAAGCTGCTAAAGTTGATGCAGACCACGCCTTCTCTCAGCAACTCGGTCGGCACCTTGAACTTTTCAGTCGGGACGCCACCAATAACTACATCCGACAGAGGCAAGACGTCGTTGAGAGTGAGGTCGGGCTTGTCGACGACTTGGTGGCGCAGCGCCTTGATGCCGGACCCGCGGGTGAAGAGCTGGACGCCGGTGATGTCGACCGAGTAGACTGTCGCGCCGTCGTTGGCCAGCAGGGCGGCGAGGGGGCGGCCGTTGACTTCGCTGCGGTTGATTACCGTGATTGTCTTTCCGTAGAGGCGGTTTCCATAGGCGAGGATGGGGTTGTAGATTTGGAGGTGTTCCAACGCTTTGACAATCGCCAATGGGGTGCAAGGAAGGATGGACTTTTTGAGATTGGCAGGGGGGTCGAGGAAGCGAACGTTGTGGTACATGTTGAAGAGGTGGGTGTGGCAGAGACCTTCAACATCCTTGGCGAGGGAGACGGTCTCCTGGATGTAGCGGTCCTGATGGCCTTGGTTGGCGGGCCAGATGGGGTAGTAGACGAGGATACCGTCGACTTCGGGGTCGTTGTTGGCGGCGATGATGGCCTCCTCGAGGGACTCCTTGTCTACCTTTACCAGGTTGAACGAGAAGCCTTGTTCTTCGCAGGTCTTTTTGGACCATTCGGCGTACTGGTAGGCGTGGGGGTCGTCATTGGCGAGGAAGGCGGACAGGGTTGGGCGGCGCGGGAGTTGGATGGCCGAGAGGGTGGATTGGACTTCGGCGAGCATCTTTTTAGCGATGGTGTCGGCGAGGATCACTTTGCAGGTTTTGGGGGGTTCGGAGGGGGCCCCCTGGGGGACGGCGGCCTTGGTGGAAGCCATGATCGTGTGAAGGTTCGGTGATCTGGACAGAAGGGTTAGTCGGGGTTGTCACTTTGGTGAGGAATTGGGCCTGTCAAGGGGATGTGAAGCTATTAAGATCCCAATGATATCAGACGAGGGGCAGTGGCCGTAGAGGTGCCAGTTCGCGCATCGTGAATCCGTACCCCGCGATGCCCCACTACGAGGAAGCAATGATTTGCGATTGAGCTTGAAGAAAGCGCAAGGGATTTGTGAAATCGCACTCACCTTGTTGTGATATGGCCTCGGTATGGGTATGAGAGAGGTTTGATCCCTGACTCACTGAGAGTGGCAGAATAACCGGCGGTTGTCGGAAGCGATCACCATGGATCTGTCTTTTTCCATACCGTTTCACTCTCAACTCAACTTGTCAAAAAATTTCACACTCTTGGATACGCCTAGAGTTTTGGCGTACCGAAAATCGCAGTATGGGCCCCACCGTTTCCTGTAAGGCTAAAAAACCCATGCGCGCCTGTCATAGACGAGGGGTCCCTTGCCGATGTCGAGACGTTGCAGCATTGCGTAAAGTCCTAGTGTAAGAATATCGAGAGTAATTCACGCAATGCCTGTGGGCATTCTGAAGGGAACCGACACTTTCCGAGGCCACCCGATTCCTACCGGTGATGATCTACTTCCAGTAAATGCTTCTCGAGTCCAGATCCCTTCCACTTCCTGAGCAAGGCCCAATGACGAGCAAGTCCGTGGGAGAAAACGTGGTGGATATGTTCTGGACGGGACCGTCGGAGATAAGGTCAGCAACGTACCCTAGACCAGCGTATCCAGAACCACAGGCATGAGGACCCTTCTGTGGAGAGATTCGCGAGACGGCTATGGTATTGGAGCGAAATGGATGAAGGGAACAAGAAAGGGGAGGTGATGAGACGCTCGAGGTTATAAACAGTCGTGTCTGCCCGTCTGCCACTCTCATCTCTGTGTCTTCACTTCATCAGCCTCTCTCTCCGTCAGCGTTCTTGTCTTACCGGCCTTCTAATAACTAATTCTCTCCACTTTCACAATGGGTTACGACTCCGATTCCGAGAAGCTGGCGCAAATCATCGCCCAGACCCAGATTCAGCCAAGAAAGAAGAATTGGGGCAACCCAGCACCACTGTTCGTGATCCAAGAAAACGGCTTCAAAGATCCCAAAAGACCTAGTCTTGGCTAACTTAACCTTAAATCTCAGTGCCTTGGCAGGGCTAGTCTTAACCTTGACGCCGTTGTCCTGTCAGTTGATGGGATGGAGAGGATCTGATCCCAATGGGTTTGCCAACAACGGCGCCCATTTCTTCTGCGGTGGTCTGCTCTTGTTCCTCGGCGGTCTTCTCGAGTTCTTCCTCGCTCACACCTTCGCCTTCGTCGTGTACTGCGCATATGGTACGTTTTTCGGCAATCCACCACAAAGTGGAATGCAATGTTGGATCTAACGAAAACGCTAGGCGGTTTCTTCTTCGCCCTCGGCGCGACACTCACCCCTGGCTTCGGCGCGGAGACCCCGTATATGAAGTCGGGCGTCCTCGGAGCCGAGTTTTACGCCAGCTTCGGCTTCTTCTACCTCTTCGTCGGTCTTCTGTCGTTCGTATTCCTCATCTGCTCGTTGAGGACGAACCTCTGTCTCGTCATTCTGTTCCTCGCCTATACGGTTGCCTTCCCTCTACTCGCCGCTGCCGAGTGGGCCCATGCCGAAGATCGACTGGCTCTTGCTCACAGACTGACTGTCGGCGGCGGTGCTGCTTGCTTTGTCGTCAGCGCTTGCAGTTGGTGGGCCATGATCGGGGGGTTACTGCAATCGGTGGACTGGCCCTTTGACCTTCCCATGGGAGATTTGAGCCATATCATCCCTGCGGCGAGGAAGGAGGTGGACGTGGAGAGGCTGGAATGAGGTGGATGGAGTTACAAAATGCTTAATTTAATGCCAAGTGCGGAGGGATGGAGTAAAATGTATTGTATTTTAGGAGGAGGTGTATTGTAATACTGTGGAAATAAAGTGATACCCAATCAACCAGAGCCGCCGGAATGCATCGGTTTTTTACTGCCCCTCCTACCCGTTGAGGTTTAGCGAAATTCAACTGCCAAGATAGCGTCATAACTCTCGGTTCACCGCCCGTGCCCGTGGGTTTTACTGCCGCGGGGCAACGTGGGGCAGAGGGCGATAACGGCGTTGCTTGATGGGAGCAGCCAACGTGCTTGGAAATGCGCATTGGTGGGCGAATCATTCGAAGGATATTCATGATATAGGCCATCCCAATTCAATACCAAACCTGAAAGCACTCAGTTCCTATCAACGCTCACGGTCATTCTGTCAAGCTGTGCTTAAACACTCTCGTCAGCCCAAAAAACTTTGTCCAACATCAGCACTCGGAGCTTGGGCCATATCAACATTGAAGGCCGAAGCGGTGATTCCTAGAGAGCTTCCCAGGGCCTGGAGTTACTGTTCTGACAGAGAATTGCATTTCCAAAATGGCACAATTCAAGCAGTGGGCACTGGAATATGTGCTTGCTGACGATGAGCCTGTGAAGTTACAACTCACCAAGAAAGCCGCCAAGGGTAAGAGGCACAGTACACGACTTCCCTATGTTCATCTTGGCTAATGGTACTTTCAGAGATTGAGGATTCCCGAGCAAGCAGCACCGTTGTGGGAAACTGGGCCGCCTCTGTTCACCAATGGATGACCTTGACGCATTCCAACGACGATGACCAATTGGAAGATGAAGATGAAAGGGCAAATGGTGATATTGTTTCCAGAGCGAAAGGTAACGTTGTATGTCTGATACCGACGTTGACCTTAACTAACATTTTGTTCTATAGCTCTGGGTTTTCTCGCCGGCACCTTGGAGGCGCTCGACAAAACTATTCTTAGACCCGATCAAGGTTTGACTATCTTAGGTGACTCAACAGGCACAGCCATTAACGATGTTTAATAGTCCAGCGGTTGATCGGCTTCTTCGGTGCCATGTTTTCCTACGATCACAAAGCAGGCATTACAGCGTCTGCAAAAGCCCTACGACAGCTGTATTCCATGAAGAACTTCAAGCCAGAGATGGGGATCAAAGTCTTGGAAGATGTCTCCAAGCTGAAGGAAGATTTCCGGCTACAGACTGCCGTTACCAGACTTGAGCTTTATGAGTTGTTTCTCAGCTTGGTGGAAGACCCAGCAGTCAGCAGCGAACTTCAACACAAGTACGGCTCCTCATGCGGCTTTGCCCTTGATCTCCTCCAGCTCTGCTCGAGTGAGCGAGACCCAAGAAACCTTATGATCTGGTTCAAAATCATCAGACGACTCCTCACCGAATTCTCACCATCACCCGAGGTCACCGAAGAGATTTTCAAAGCCTTCTCTGCCTACTTCCCCATTTCTTTGCGGAGCTCGGCCACCCCAATAGGAATCACAGCCGAGGACCTCAAGGAGGCGGTGCGGAACTGTTTTTCATCGCATCAACGTGTTGCCCCTTTTGCCTTTCCATTTCTCATGCAGAAGCTTGATCAAGGGGATGCAGTCACGGTGGCTGTCAAGGTATGCTGAAAATGCTCCTGAGTTCCGAAAGTATAGCTTGCTAACTCCGTTAGGTCGACATTCTGAGAACCATCAAGGCGTGTATCGAAGAGTACGAAAACCCGCAGGCTAGCGTTGTCCCATACATCAAAAAGATCTGGGGGTCCCTGAAATACGAAGTACGAAACGGGGAGGTAAAGGAGAGCATCGACGCCACCATCGAAGTGCTCCGTGCTATTGCCAGAAAGCTCGATGGCTCGAAAACTCACAAGCATGAAGTCACCCTGCTGAAGAACTACATCGACCTGGTGTTTGGAGACTGCAAAGACGACCTTTCCAATCCGACCTACACGAAACAAGCAGGTCTTCTGTTATTGACGGTTGTCACCGCAAGCATCAAGGGCTATGTGTTTTACAATGCTAGCTTCATCGATATCATCCGCCAAAATCTTCGACAACCAAAGTCTCCGACTCATACCCGAGACCTTCTGCTACTTGTGAACTCTATTCTCAAGACACGGATAGAGCTCTTTAAGAACCGGAAAGTTGGACATCCCGATGATGAGGAGCAATTACGTTCCGAGCCACGCACCCACCTCGTTAGCCTCTTCCACGATGTCTACCTACCAATATGGACTGGCAAGGCCAGTGAATCTGATTCCAAAGAGAGCGATGTCCTGAAACAAGTCGCTCTTGGTCTTGGCTTGCTTGTCAGCCAGCAAGCTTTGGATACGAAGGGCGAGGTGTCACTCCTCTGCTCTGGGGCTATCTGTTTTGAGATCTGCAACCTTCTCACTGTCACACTTGTGAAGCCTCTGACCCTGAGTTCCAATGACAATCAGAGTCAGGATGCGACGCTGGAAGATGACGTTGTGCTTGCTCTGCGCACAATCATCATGAGTTACACAGATGGCTATGGGCATATTCTCAAGCCAGCCAGAAAGGAAATCCAGAAGCGCGACTGGACTGGTCCTTCTGAGTATTCGCTGGAGGCTCTGAAGATTCTGCTTTCTCGACTGGCGTTCATCGGGTGCTCAGAGATTCCGACCCAGGTCAAGTCTGACACGGAGCCGGAACACCCATACAGCCCGCTGCGGCACTATGACGCGTGGCTGCGGACGCTAGTATACCTCTTCCCACTGTCGGCTCAGTCCCTTACTGCCAACTCGTACATTTTGTCGTCTCTTCATGCGTCGGTCATATGGTTCCGTGACGCCTGTGAAGCAAGGTACGGGACTGGTGCACTGGCCCAGTATTCAAATAGCGACAAGAACTGGCTTGCGGAATTTGAGCAGCTTCCAGGTACATTCTTCAGTCAGGCGGAGGGTCAATCTATACTGCCAGACGAAGTTGCTTCAAGCTTTGGCGAGGATGACCCCGAGACGTATCTCCAGTTCCTGCGACTCAGCTTGTTCATCGTGAGGGGATTTTACAAGGGTGCCAATAGTGAAGCACCATGGTCAGAGCAAGCGCTTGTTCAGCTTGCTCAGACGGCTGCCTTGGTTGTGCGAAGCCTCGATGAAAAGTTGCAGGTGTCTTGTAATCTGGCCCGCGAGGCATTCAGCTTGTTCAAGACCTCCGAGGACAAGCCCTGCGCTAGCCCATTGAGTGGGTTACTCACAGTTGGTATCCTTCAGGGACTTCACCCGGATGCTATGACTGAGCTGGTGAGATTCATGCTCTAAATCACCGTTTCCAAACCAAACTGACAACAACATTTGTAGTATCAACCCGGAGGTGTAGCAGAGAAGTTTATCTGCGATACATCCGACCTTGGCTCCTCGCCACGAGCAAGCGATATCAAGGCCGCCGTTGGAGCCATCTATTCCAACAAGTACCCAGCTGGACCTGCTGCATCTGAGGAATACCAGACCTTGAAGCGTGGTTTGGAATTCTGGACGAACTACATCAAGAACGCCGTCAGATCATCAGACATCGACTCTGGCAGCTTCCACTCCTTCACCAACGTTGCTATGCACACCGTTGCCGGGGCCGTGGCCCGTCAAGAGAAATTCGTCCTTGACCTCATCCCTATCCTCCACGAGGCGGCTGCTAGCCCAAGCCCCAACGGGGAAATCGTCGCTCGTTCCATGGGCATCCTAGTCCAACCCAACAGCGAAGTTTTGAACAAGGAGAGCCACGCGAACATCAAGCGGTTCTACAAGCAATGGGCTTACAACTTCCTCGTCCGCCCATTATACGACCTTGCCCGCCCAGGTAGCGACAAGGACCCCAAGGCCACAGCCCGTTACTCCATCATGATTCTCTCAGTGATCAAGAACTGTCCTTTTACCGTCTACCAGGACGATCTCGAGTCTCTGCTGCGTCTCCTTGTCACCGCACTGAGCAACAAGAAGGACGACAGTGTCCTCTCCGAGGAGGCCGCGCAGGCGCAGGTGATTGCCGCTTTGGAAATCCTGGTTGATATCCTGGCCAACGAGCCAAGCGCTCTCAAGGGTTTCTTGAAGGAGATCATCAGTGGGACGACCAAGGTGTATCAGGAATCAGCCACCTCGAACAAGACGCTCCACAAGACTCTGACAACCTGCCGGAAGTTGTCACTGCAGGTGCTCGGTGCGCTACCAAAGACGTTTGAGGAGCGCTATCTCCTTTCTTTCTCGCGCCCAACACAGCGCATGCTGGCTTCGGCGTGTGGCGACCCTGTGAGAAAGGTGCGTGAGGCTGCGCGGTCAGCCAGGGCTAACTGGGCGAAGGTTGTTTAGGGGTAGGGTATCAGATTTGCAGGTAGATAGAACCCATCTGATCCAATGAGCAGCAAAGCAATTTGAACCATGGGTATCTCTGTTGACTTTTTGCCGTCCACCAAAGGACACCTTCCCCATACATAGATAAACGAATCAATTAGCCAGAAACTCGCTGTAGCCCCCCCTGTAACCGCCAACACCATTTTCTGTACAAATAGTTTTTGCACAACAAACCCGGTTAATCATTCCCGATCCTCGAACGACTAGTTCTTCCTCCTCTTTCCCCCCTTCTTCGCCTCAGCCGCCTCCGTCCCCGTCGCCGTCTCGGCCGCAGACCCAACAACACTAACCCCCTCACCACTCAACATAGCCAACATCTCAGGAGTATATACCGCCGACGGCCCTGCCTCCCCACCCTCAACCTTTGCAGCATTCGCCCTCTTGGTATCAACCCTCCCAATAACACCCACCCCCTGCGCCAACACAGTCTGCAACGGTGCCGCAACAAACCTCCCCGCGGCATCAAACCACTCGGTAAAACTCCTGCTAATCTTCAACGTCTTCCTCTCCCCTGTCTTCCCATCCTTGACCTCAATCGTCATGTGATAGACTGGTACATTCTTTTTTGTCTCGGTCGAAATCCGGATCTTGTCACCTTTTGGGGAGGTGCCCTGGTAGATTGTACCCTTTTCGACATAGAAGATCCAGAAGGTGAGGAGTCCGTTGAGGATGGTGTAGAGGGCGACGGCGAAGGCGGTGTAAGTTTTTGTGGACTCGAAGCCGAAGTTGTAGTCCCAGGCGAAGCAGGCGGCGGAGAGGGCGAACGCGGAGAAGCCGAGGGCGAGGCGGACGTCGGTGAGGAGGTGGGAGGGGGTGAAGGAGAGGGAGGTGAGGTAGTTGGGGATGGCGTCGTCGGTGGTGTTTTTGAGGTCTGGAATAAGTGGGATTAGAGGCTGGACTTGGAGAGGGGGGTGGTGAAGGAGGGGAGCTTACCTGCTAAGTTGTAGACCGTGATCTTTTCTTGTGTGGCCATGATGACAAGTTATTTGAGCAAATGAATTGAAACGAAAGACAATCCCAGATACTGTTATATTCAAAGCCAGAACAGAGCTTCCTGCGAAGAATTGGTAGTAAACCTCTCGATCGTTGGCTTCAAAGTTCCTAGACAAACACCTGTCGCGAAACGGAAAGGCCACCTCTTTGGACGTCAGAAGTGGCCCGTGCTCCTCTACCCGTCTTTTTGGCAGGGTTCCTGCGCCGCGCGCACGAGCAACCCCTGTAATCTTGGCATTCAATGGGAAGCTCCAGCGCAACGACGACATTGCATTGCTGCTGTCTTGATCCCATCACCAGCCAAACACTTAACCCAATTCCACAACAACACTATCTCGCCCTGTGAAGAGACCACAACCATGGCGCAAGTACCAGTCCAGACGATCCATAGGGATCCCCAGTTATTGTATGTCACCCCCCTACCACTGTCTTTCACCACCATCAACAATGTCACTAACCACACCACCCTCACCACAGCTACTGGATCCTCTTCCCCATCACCATAGTCATGATCCTCACCGGCATCCTCCGCCACTACGCCACAGTCCTCATGTCCTCCGCCCCCAAACCCCTCGACCTCCGCTCCACCCGCGAGCAGCGTTCCCTCCTCCACGGCATCTCCCTCCGCACCAACTTCCACGTCCTCTCTCCCCGCTCCTTCCACTCCCGCCGCGACGCCGTCATCACCGCCTACGAATCAGGCGCATACCTCAAAGACCCAGAGAGAAAGGGTCAGCCCCCGGCAAACCCAATGACAGACCCGAGCTCGATGGACGGGATGATGGGCATGATGAAGAACCAGATGGCTATGATCATCCCCAACACGCTGATCATGAGCTGGATCAATGCTTTTTTCAGCGGTTATGTTATTAGTGAGTGGCTGACAGCTCCGGGAAGAAGGAAGGCGGCTGGGCTGACATGGCAAAATAGTGAAATTACCCTTCCCCCTGACCATCAAGTTCAAGAGTATGCTTCAGGCTGGTGTGGGAACCAAGGACATGGACCCGAGGTGGATGTCAAGTATCAGTTGGTACTTTTTGTGCATGTTTGGTTTGCAGTCTGTGTTCAACTTTTTGCTTGGCAATGACAATGGTATGTTTTGTTCTGGCAACTATTGACAAGGTGTATTGGCGATCCTATCAATGCAAGTACAAGCTGTGCTGACAATCTTCCTCCTCCTGATAGCTGCTAGCCAAATGGCTCAGCAGATGGGCCAGATGGGCCCTCAGGCGCCACAAATGTTTGGCCCTGGTGTTGACCCCAATAAGCAGTTCCTGGCCGAGGCGGAGAACCTGGCTGTGATTGAACACCATTCGGTTCTGCACGGTGTCGAACAGCGGCTTCTTGAGGGAATTAGGGTATAAGGGATGCACAAAATGTGACTTTTTGGCCTACGGTGACGACAGCAACATACGATAGCGTCTCTCGATGAACCGGGTTTGGTGACAGCGTCGGCTACTGTCCTTCACTCCCACCACAAGGTGATGCCAAGACCAGGGGCGGCCATTGTCCCAATTATGGAATATGGGGCCTGGTAGGTGGTTTTTGTTGGCGCATCGGAATCAGTGGACTCCTTTGGTTTTGTTGGTGGCTGGGTGTACCACCTCTCCTCGAGAACCATGAAGCGCACGATTTCGTGGGTGTCATAGTACAGCTGTGTTTCCTCGTCAGACTTCCAAAGCCAGACCTTTTCGGCCTCGACACTATGGCGGCGGTTAGTGACAAAGGCGACTCGAGCAGGTTCTGGGACTCATGAGCGACCTACAACTCTGTCTCTTCTGGCAGTTCAGTGGAGGGAATCCAAATATCGTTGAAGAAGGGCGTGCAGACTGGCGTGGATAGTCGGTCAGCTGGGAGGATGCAGCCACAAAGAGGAACAAGAGGTATAACTCACGCCGCATGCCTTGTGAAGTTTGCTCCTTGATACGTGCCTGGATAACTTCGCCCCTGTGTGGCCGGAAGACCACCATGTGGAACTCAACTGTATCGTAGATGTTAGCTAGACGTTATCAAGAGTCATAATGTTGGAAAGAGAAAGAAATCCACACCATTTATGTTGACATAACCATCGTATTGTCCTATCAGACCTTCTGAGGCATCGGTGATGTCCCATACGCAGACGCAGAGGCCGATGTTTGGAATGACTTTGTTGGCATATTTCTCATTGATCTTGTCCTCGATGGCTTCAAGACTGGTCTTGTAGAAGTCTTGGGGCTTGAGCTGCACCAGATCGGCGATTTTGGTCTTGGGAAGTCGATCAAAGAATGTGTTAGTCGCTATCTTCCTCGAAGTCCAAATATGGATAAAACCAGGAAATTGGTGAGACTCACGACAATCCACATCTTGGCGAGATATTGATTCGGCTTATTGATTATGAAAGTATAATCGCGAGTTTCGATGATGTGGGGTGAATAGTGTGGTGAAGTCGAGTTGGCTAAGGCGTGATTAACCTTCCAAAGCAGGTGAGCCAGATGTATAGTTTATTCCTGAAATTGACTGTACGGGTTTCAAGAAGTGGTGGGCGACGACGAATGAAGACAAGATGGTCAATGCAGAAGGTTATGAAAATCAAGCAAGAATTATAGTTGGGTATCACTGTGGTTGGCTTTCTCTACAAATCTACAAAACTTTTGCGATTGTTGATATGGAGTCTAGTCTCTCAAAATTCATCCCACACATCTGACCCTGACTGACTGACCTTGCCTCGGTGAGACGACTCACCTTTCGGGAAGCCCACTTGCAGCTCAATTCTGCCCCAGGAACCCCTGCAGCAGCCCCTTGACCGCCTTTGAATCCTGCGCTGGCGCCACCTTTGGCGTTTCTTCTTCAGACACCGCTGGTCCACAATCGTTGCGCCTTTCCCTCTTTCCCGACACCTCGAGCCAAACCCACAGTGAAACTACCCGTCATCAAAGCCTGTTTTCTCTTTTCTGACTCTGCCTCTGCCTCTTCCCCGTTGGCTTTTCTGTTCTTCCTTGTAGAGACACAGCACTGCACAGAGATACCCTTTTCATCGTTCTCCCGAGCCTGCGTCTTTCCGACTATCGGATTTCAAGTGAAGCCTCAATCCGTCATCAACAGGAGCCTGGAAAGTCGTCCAGCATATCGCGTCTCTCACATCTTATTTTACAGCATCATCCTCGAAAACCACGTCTCGATCGATCATGTCGTATAATTACGGGCCCCCACCGCCTCCTCCACAACCAGCACCACCGAGCAGTTCTCCGACTGGTTATAATCCTTATGGCGCGACGCGTGGAGGGCATGGTGGAAGGGGGCGTGGAGGTCACGGAAACGGCGATCGCGGTGGCTTTCACCAACCTGCACCTGTATATGGCTACGGGCAACCCCAATACGGCCCTCAGGCTCCGGGTCCTTACGCGGGACCGCATCCCGCTCAACCAGGCTATCCTCAACAACCTCAGCAACAGTGGCACCCCGAGCATGGTCAGCAACAGCAGCACGCTCAGCACTCATCTTCTCAACCACCACACGGGTCACTTCCTGCTCAAAACTACCACCCCAACTACGCTCCGCAGATTTATCAACCACAGGCACCCTACGGATCTCAACCACAATACCCTCACGCAGGCCCTCCTCCCTACGGCCCGGGTTATCCAACAGGAGCACCCCATCAAGGTCCTCCAGCTCAACAGTGGGGCAGTCATCCTCAACAAACACCTCCTACGTCAGGACCGTATGGTGGAGGTGGGCGAGGTGGTCGCGGCGGTTATAACAACGACCGCGGTGGACCCAAAGGGCAAATGATGGGACCCCCCATCCGGATAGGATTTGATAACAGCAACTCTCAACCACCTCCCGCTCCAGTGAGCGCACCATACCCACCTCAACCTTACGGTGGACCTCACGGTCCTCCTGCACCGTACGCTGCGCCGTACTCCGCATATCCTCCTCCAGCACCATACATGCCTGGGCCAGCGCCATTTGACGGCCATACTGGTCACAATCCCCGCCATCACAATCGTGGCGGTGGTTTTCATAACAATTCCAAAAACCGTTCCCACTTTGGCGGCGACAAGCATCGCAATCGCAACCAAAACAAGGGACAGGCCTCCCAGACCCCTCCGACCCATCATCAGAAGCCTGATGCTGCGTCGACGAGCAAAAAGAAGAAGCGCAAGACTAACACACTGGGTCTAACACCTGGAGATGAGTCTGAGGAAGACTTGGAGAATGAAGAAGAACGTCTGACCGAGTTGATCGGAGCCGAGGCCCCAAAGTAAGTCTTGTCCTGTCCATCAGTTGGGCCCCTTGCTAACTTTACACAGTCCCCAAACCTCGGCCGAGCTTGCTGCGTGGATTGCTGAACGCCGCGCCAAGTTTCCTACTAAAGCGAAGATCGAGGCCGCCAAGAAGGCAACGGGCAAGACTCAAAATGGTGACGCCAGCAAGGACTCTGAATCCGACCTCGTCCAGAAGGCTGAGAAACTTAGAAAACAACTGAAAAAGGTCGAATCGAGCATCAAGCGGAAGCGCGAACAGCAGGATGAAGGGGACGAGATGAGGGATCTGCATTTGAGCTCATCTCCCTCGACCGATTCTAAATCGGATGACGAGAAGCCTGAAGTCATGTCAACTCGTCAGGATTCCAACAACCTCCCTCCTCCGCCGAGAAAGGCAGACCCGACCAAACACTGCAAGTATTATTCGACGGGCGGCAACTGTGGAAAGCGGGGCAAGTGCCGCTTTGTTCACGATGCCACGGTCCGTGAGGCTGCTTTGAGAGAGCGTGAGATGAACGGCGGGCGCATGACCTTGCAGCAACGTCTCACGCTGAATGACAAGGAGCAGGAGGACCTTACCATTGTCAAGACGGTTAAATATCTCCAGGACAAGGGCCTTGTTCCTAAACCAGCTCCAGGTTCTGCGTCGACGGCAGCGCAGCCCGAATCTAGCACAGCCCCCCAGCCCCAACCCCCTACGGTTGCCAAGAAGGAACCAGGCAATGGCCTTCCTCCTATCCCGCCTGTGCCTAAGTATGCTGGCTGGAATATGAACGGGTTCGGCAATACCGGGGGTAGATCGAGTGAGCAGTAGGGTTCGCGCTCTCGTTCAGCCCCAAGAGGATTCCGTTCACAATCAGTGCCTCGCAACCCGAGAATCTCATCGCCAACTGGGCACAACAGCAGCCATGAGGGGTATATACCAAAACTGACACCGCCTGATTACGGACCACAGCCTTCCTCCTGGCAACGTTACTAAACCTACGAAGCACGATAGGAACTCTGCGTTTGCAATCCAGTGTCGGTTACCCACGGCCATGCACACAGTCTCAACCAGGTCATTAGCTGTCTCTTGGGGCTTCTTTCTCTCCTCCGATTTTCTGGGTCGCGACGGGCCTTGACAGTGTCGAGTTCTCGTTTCATATTTTTTCAAGGGCCTCTCGGGCTTGCGGCACTCATCACACAATGGCAGGCCAGGATTAGCACCACTCACCGTCACCACAAGTAGCGTGGGCTGCTAGAGGCATCTGTCATCTTTCATCTGTACAATATCACACGGGTTAGGCGTTTAGGGGTTAAGTCCTCTTCTTTCGCGTAGTTTGCGCGGGCGGGTGCTGTAGCACTCGAGCATTGACATCTCTTGGAATGGTATGCTTTTCCTGAAGGTAAAATGCAGGTTGGTTTCATGGGTGTTTCTGCGGTAGAAAAGACGCAAGCAAGTGCTGACAGGTACTCCTAAGCTTGGGTTCGGTAGCATGTCATAAAATAAAAGCGTTTTTGAAGGTCATATTTCTTCACCTCTTGTGTGACGTTGGTTGTGTTGAATGAAAACAGGGTGTTTCCTCTCGTTTGATTTGAAAGGTTTGTCATATCATTTCGTAACATTCGATGGAGCTCAGGACCGAAAGGGGGGGCAAGGAAACTCTTTTTCTATCCTTTCCATTTTCCTCCCTTCCATGTATCATACAGCACCAGCAAACAGGTCCGTCATCAAAATAAAACCACTATACCACCCTCCTTTAATCAACCCGTGATCAATGTTGCTATATCCTTCCCGTCACCATCCCCCCGTTTACCATACATATCATTCCAGCTGACTTCTTGTCCAAAATCATTGCTTCACACCTTATCACACAACACCTAAACCTGCTCCTCATCACTCTCCTCATCCCCAAGCAACTCCCCCTCATCATCCCCATCCACAATATCATACCCCCCCGCTCCCCTCGCAAAACTATCGCGTGTGGTAAACCTCCTGCTCCCCCAACCACCACCACCACCACCAAGTCTGCTCCACCTCCCTCTCGATCCCCCTCCCGCACCACCAAGCAACCCAACCCTCTCCATCCCCCCCTTGACAACCCTCCAAACCGCGCCCGCCACCACCGGAATGGCCACCACAACGGCAACGACCCCGCTAATAGCAATAATCGGGTACTTTACCCACGGCTGCCCCTCATCAAAAACATGGGTGCTCGTCCCGTTCTCCCCCAGCCTGATCTGCCCAAACTTGCCGTTCCAGTTCCTCCAGACATACCACCCCGCCCCGGCAGCAATCACGACAGGGATGACAACCGCAAAGAAGATGCTCCACCCCGAGCGGCGGTGCTTCTTTTCGTACTCCTCCTCCTTTTGAGGGCAAGCCACCGGCTCCGACTGCTCGTCCATCGTCTTGCCGCCCTTGCACGTCGTGAGGGGGATCCGTCTGTACCCCGACGGTGGGAAGAATTCGATCGCGTCGGGGTGTTCAGAGCACCACTGCTCTCTTGTCATGGGAGAGAGCCCGTTGACGAGTGAGCACTGGCCGATGGGGTCCATTTCAAAGTTGTAATCACTTTTTGACAAAAAAGGTTAGTTTTTTTTGGTGTTGAACAGAAACAGAAGGGGAAGGGGACAAACCATTCGAAATCCTCCCTTTGGCATTCGCAATCCTCTTTTCCGTACAAGGGTGACATCTTCATCGTGTTCCAGCATTGCACATCCCCGTCCTTTGCAATCTTCTTCCTTAGATACTTGCTCTTGTGCCCAAACAAGCACCCGTCCTTTTGCACCGGGTGTTCTGGTGACCAGAGCTCGTAGTCCCCGTTCTCGGGGTGGTCCTTGTCGAATTGGCAGTCCTTGTTGGCGAAACCCTTGAAGTTGAGCTTCATGGTGAAGGCTTTGTCGTCTTCGTCCTTGCCCCAGAGGAGGAAGGAGTGAGAGCCGCCTGAGCGGACGGTGGTGACGTCCCATAGTTCGACCTCCTTTTCGGAGAACTCGTGCTCCTTCCAAGTGTTGCCTCGGTCGAAGGAGTAGAAGAGCTTGTTTGACTGTTTCCTCGAGGCGGAGGCGGTAGTCTGTGCGAGGATGAGAATCCCGCCTTGGTCGCCAATGGCCCACGTCCAGGTGCCCTTCATGACGCGCTTCCAGGTTTTGCCCGCGTCGGTGGTCATGTAGGTGTCTGCTTCTTTGAGGGGGCCGAGGGAGTCGCCCGTGTTACCCCAGCCGAACATGATTCCGACGGCGCCTTGGGAGGAGTGAGTCTTGCCGTGGTCGCGGCGCTCGGTGTACCCGTGGATGTGGAGGGCGCAGTCCTTGCTGCCTTGCTTATCGTGGCAGGGGAGCATTGGGCTTCCAGGTTTGTCTTCCCACGGGAGCGGGGAGAATATGCCCACTGGGGCACCGTCGTTGTGCGTGGATTTGTTGTTTGGAGCTTCTTGGTCCCCATTCTTGTCGTCTGAATTGGCGACTACGTTGACCAACCGCAACGCCTTCCAGGCCGAGCATCTTTTCAAAGTCAACGTAGTATGACTCGTCACAGTTGACGTTGCGAAACGCTAACGACGTAGGATGTGCCGTTAGAGTTGCTCTTGATGATGGTGCCGTATTGCCGGCCTTCCTCCATGCTGGTGGCAACAAACAGGTTGACGGCATGTGTAGAACTGTCGAGAACGGTATAGGCGTGTTGGTGGGTAACCTCAAAGCCATGGGGGAAATGGGCGTTGGCGTAGTTCTTGCCGTCCAAACTGGCGCTGGCTTGCAATGTCTTCTTCTCGGCATCTTCGGCAGCCACGACGATGAACTCGGCCATGGTCGCAAAATCCTTCACGTTTTTGCCGTAGACCTCTTCGTTCTTGAACCAGTCGTTCGATGACGCAAGCACCAAAGGCTTGGCCTTATCTTCCTTTTCATGCTTGAGACAAAGAATCTGGTTCTCCTTGCGGCCCTCGAACTTGTAGGCAGAAGACCCGGTGAACTCACAACGGCGAACCTGTTTTCCAATTGTCCGCCAGTAGGCGAAGGGATCCTCAGTGGCATGTGCAACACCGTAGCACTCGCCATCATCACACTTCTTGCCCATCCAGATCAGCCAGTCTTTGTGATCTGGATGGAAAGCGAGAGGGAACATGTCATTATCTGGCTTAGTAGGGGCATCGAACGCCTGGAACGTCTTGCAGCGATCCATGGTCACGAATACCTTCTTGCCAGAGGTAAGGAAGAAAACGGCATCCTTGAAGTACTGATGGGGAATGATGGCTGTAATCTCCTCATCCTCCAACTTTTTGGGCGTTTCCCAGTCTTTGCCATGGTTGAACGAGACCAAAATCGGGCCAGCCTTGTTAAGGGGGCGCATGATAACCGTCTCGTCCGTCCCAGTGCTAGAATCACCACGCTCAAGATAGTGCTTCTCAAAACCGTCCCACTTCTTTCCTTCCATGACATGTTTTGTCTGTTCGACCTTGCCGGTGAGCTCATGAGTGGGACCACCATTGCCGCCTATGGCGTCCTTACACTTCCACTCCTTATCCTTGTACTTGTCCTTCATCTTGTCGGTATCCTTGCAAGTGTTCCCAGGAATCTTGCGGTATCCCGAGGTGCCCTTGAAGGTATCATCTGGCTTCTTGTCCTTGCAGGCTCCTTCAGGTGCAAGTACCTTGCCCTTCTTGACACACTCGCCATCCTCATCCCTCTCGAAGTTGAAGTCACACTCATAGTCTTGCTCCGTGCAGTCGCAGTCCTTAGTCTCGGCGACAGCATGCTTGAACTCCTGCTTCAGGAAGCACTTAGCATCCTTCTTGCGGCGATGGAAGCTCTGAGTGTGGCCCATCAGGCAGGTCGGCTTGCCGTCCTTATCGACACGAGCAGACCACACCTCCATGTCATCCTCCTTGCAGGTATCCTCGTGAAGGCCCTCAAAGTCGATAGAAAGAACGCGCCATTCCGGAGACTTCTTCGTCTTGCCAATGAGGAGGAATTTCAAGCTGGTTGAATCCTGAGACGTGGTAAGGATGTACGGTCTGATCTTAAGATCATCCGGTAGAGATTCAGTTTTCCATTTTTGGCCGTGGTCCAAAGAGTAGCTGATCTCAGAGATGTCCTCTTCCTTGGAGTCCTTGACAGCAACCAAGATAGAACCCTGGTCACCAAACTCGTATTTGTGAGGCCCGTCCAAAGCCTTGGTCCATGTTTTGCCGGCGTCGTCCGAGACGTACAGGTTGCCCTTATCCCAGTAGCTCTTCAGCTCGTCGCCAGTGTTGCCAACACCCATGACAATGCCAGGGGCAGCGCTGGAGAAGACGCGGCCGATGTTGCTAAGATCCGTTACAGAGTGGAGATGAATGCGCTTACCATCAGCCGTGATCTTCTCAAATGTGCGCCCATCATCGAAAGTGATTTCCGAGTAGATCTCCTTGTCAGCGCCGGCCTTCTTTTCAACCTCTTCCCAATTTTTGACCTTGTTGACGAGATAGACGCCCTGAATGCCAGCGATCTTTTCAAAGTCGACATGGCCATGCTTGTTGCGGTTGGTATGCTCGGCGTTTTCAGTGAAGTGGTTACCCTTGGAGTTGCTGCTGTACATGACACCCATCGGATTACCCTGGTTCGATGTCCGTACATCAACCTGAATGCTGTAATTGGTGCTCTCCAACACGGTGTATGCGTTTTGCGCAAGACGGTGGTCGTGGCTGTCGTGGGCCGCGGGGAAGGCAGCACGGCTCCATTTCTTGGTGTCATCAGTGACAAAAAGCGCCATCTCGTCAGTGTTGAGCGAGGTAGTTGCGACCAAGATCCACTTCTTCACGATCGCAATGCTCACAACACCCTGGATAACCTTGTCAGTATCCAAGTTCGGTTCGAACTCTTGAATATTCTTGGCTTCCTCGGTCCCTTTGAAGAAGTTGTCCGAGATCTTGAGGCGCTGGTCCTGCTTCAAAGGCGAGACTTTGTCCCTGACGATGCAAATAACACGGTCTTTATCGAGGTCATCTTCACCTGTCGTGAATAGTTCTGAGCCCTTGGCCCACCAGCAGCCATCCGTATCGTCCCGCAAGGCCTTCCCCTTGGTCTTGAATCCATCGGTGGTATAAGTTGTAACCTCCTGGCACTGAAAGCCATGGCATCTCATGCCATTGAAAATTATACGATCAGGGTCGTCGGCGTGGAAAGCCAGCATGTCGGGTCGAAAGATGCTCAGGTCGACGCCCGAGTCAAACTTTTCCCAATTCTTGCCGCGATCCGTCGTTCGGTAATGCTTGGAGCCCTCTGTAAGGATATAGGCGCGCTTCGAATCGAACTCGTGCATGGTCAGGAGCACGGCCTTGCCTTCGGGCACAGCGTCCACGCGCTCCCACTTTGCGCCGGCGTCGTTGGAGAGATAGACATTGCCATCATCGATATCCTGGAACAGCACTACATCCGAGTCGGCAAAGTAGTTGATATTCATGGGTATATTTTCGAACTCTTTGGAGTGGAAGGTTGGGCGATCCTTCGCAGCAGCGAGGGGTGTCGCCCATAAGGCTGAGGCCAGCAAGGCCGTGGCCTGCAAAGCTCTCCAAGCCTTCATGGTGCGTCGTTATCGAACCGGTCGTTCATCGACGAGGGAATCGATCGAGGGTGTATCAAAGCTGAAGGCGCGGAAGGGGAAGGCTGACTGATGTTGGCTCGCAATGCGCAGACGAACAGGCAGCGTACAAAAGTGCCGAATGCGTGTGCGTTGCAGCAGCGGGCAGCCAAGCTCGGCTCTTGGGCGTTGGACGACGATAAGATATTGGTAGGTTACGTTAGTGCCAAGCCTCGTCCTCCTCCTCGGTTGCTGCTACTGATGTTATCTTCGTTGCTAGGAGGAAATTGTGGGAAAAGGAGATAATCACGGCAAGGCTGATGAATCTGCTCGTCTATTCTAGGCTCAAGTCCAAGCTGTCTTCTTCTCTGCGTGCAGTTGCAGCTGCAGCAAACCGTCCGTCACAAGCTGAGACGAAGGCTCACCAATAGCAGTTCACGCTGCCTGCCTGCGCCACAGTTGGGGTTTCGGGCCGCGCGGTACTTGGAGCTTGCGCCTGTTTGCCACCTAAACGGGCGTACCTTACCCCTTATCTTATCCAGCACCTGAGTGGTTCGGGAGCTCCACGATTATGAACGTGACTTTAGAGTAGACATCGAGATAAAAGAATAACAACTAATTACAAACCTAAGGAGATCTATACACAAAGGAAACAACAGTGTCGACAGACAGACAGACAGACAGACAGAATATGTCACCCCCACCCACCTTACCAAAGACCCACAACATCTGACAATCTTCGAGTTCCATATAACGCCGAAAGCGCACGATATAAAAGTCCCTAACAAGTACACGGAAAGTAAGCCATCGACAGAGGCCCAACACCTGACCGGGAGGCAAAAATCCACCCTCGAGCTGCTTGCCCCTGTGACGACAGTGATTTTCCTATACCCGAACCTGTTTCGACGTAATTGAAGCAACAATAACCCATTCGACCCCATGTGAAATGACAAGTATACACATTTAAACCGTAATATGCGATTCCAAATCCGCCACTTTCTCCTCATCCCCTACATTTCTAACGTGTATTAGACCTGGAAGCTGCCGGGCTTCTTGAAAACAATGTAAGCAGTGCCGCCAGGCTTGAGACCGACCTGTTTCATCATGTTAGCCTCTTTCGTTTTTATCAACATTAGCAGAATGATACATACGGTGCAGCCCTTGTCTTGAGAGTAAGTGCCGGCCTTGAGCCAGCAGGTACCAGAGATGTCACCCTCAACCTTGATGTCAAAGTTGAGAATGGCGTGGCTGGTAGGCAGGTTGGGGAAGACGGAAAGGAAGGTCTCGCCCGTCAAGCTCTTGCCGACACCGATGTTGGTGGGGGACCAATTGCCGGCAGAATCGGGGTACTTCTCGCTCTTCCACTTGCAGGCCTCCTGAACGGGGACACCGGCGTTGTTGACGTAGTATTGAGCCGTGGTGGGCTTGCCTTCCCACTTGTAGTAGGTCCTGGAGTCGGGGTTGGTCAAAGGATAGGTTCCGCCGGGCTGAGTATCAACGGGGATGATCATGTTCTCGTTGCCAGGATAGTCGGTACGGCAAACAGCAGCGTTGTCATCGAGCTCGTTGCGGACAAAGACACCACCGGCGCCAGCCTCGCAAAGAGTCTTGACGGAGGGGCGGGTGAGCTCCAAGAAACCATCCGCATTGCACCAAAGGCCACCGACAGACTGGCCGGTGGCACCCTGCTCCTCGGGCCACTGGGTCTTCTGGTAACCGGGAGGGCAGGCATAAGAGCACATCATCTTGGGCCCGCAGGTGCCATCAACAGGCTGGTCAATGTTGTCAACGGCCTTGCCCTTGACCCAGTCGCCAAAGCTGGCCAAAGTGGTCCAGCCGCGAGTGGTAGACCAGGGAATCTTGACAGCACCATAGTCGGTAGGAACCTCACTGCAACGAATCTTGCCGCTGGGAAATTCGGCGTCCAGACCGGTTCCCTTGGGAACCTCGGGCTCCTCCTCCTCCTCCTCTTCCTTCTCAGGTTCCGGCTCCTCGGTAGCCTTGACCTTGGGAGCCTCTGAAGTTGTGGTGGGTTCGGGCTTGGCGCTGGTGGTCTTCTCGAAGAACTGACCACCATGCTCGGGGAGAACGATCGAGGTGGTGACGGAAGGGGGAGGGGCGCTGAAGGAAGGCTTCGACGACCCAACAACAGCGAACTGGCCGGCGGCGATACCCTCCTGAGCCTTCTCCTCGGGGATGACCTGGCCGTCAAGAACGTACTTGACAACGGTGGGGCCCTCAACAACCTCGGTGATGATGACGGTCTTGTCGGTGCGCTTCTCAAGTTCAACGGGCGACTGATTGTGCTTGCGGGCATGACGGTGGAGGTGGGCGTGACCGTGGTTATGGGGCTGAGCGACAACGCCGGCAACAACCGCCGCGGCGACGGCAGTTTTGAAAAGTCCCTTCATCTTGATAGTGTGTCTGAGCGTATAGCTTTGTCGTCGTGACTATTTTTCCGTCGCAAGTGTCTGGAATGTTTCTGTTCAAGATTAACCACTGGCCTGTCGTGGCGCGCCTGGTCAAGAAAGATTGACAGCCTCCGCCTCCGCCTCCGCCTGAGCCTGAGCCTCCGCTCATCGCAAATGATGTCTCCATTATTCTGTTTACAGTACCGGGATCGTGTGGATGGCCAACATCTGGGTTCGGAGATCGGGGCTCGAAACAACGGCCAACGTAGACGAGAGCGGCGGGGTTGGAGATCGGGTCTTCGGGAACGTGGGAAACTAACCTGTTGTTTTGTTTTGATCGGATGCTACAGGTACAGTACAGTACAATCGCAAGGTTCCAAAGGAATGTGGTAGAGAGCCGAAAACTCTCTGTTGGCTGGAAGACTTGTCGCGCAAAGAGAGTGTGCGGTGACAAGAGTGGAAAACGAGTGTGCAACAGTTCAAGGGAGTGGTGAACTGAAGAAGGAGAAATGGGGTCTCGAGCGGTGGAGCGGTCAGGGCGAGCGGCGGATGGCCAGACTGAGTCCAAGGGGGAAAATGAGGAGGAAATGAGCGTCAACCGGGGTGCCTGAGCTTGGATGGCCGCCAAGCACTGGGCGTTGACCTTGACGGTGGGGATCCCCTTCCTTGGCGAGATTGCCCAAATTTGGGAGTGGGCGGCTACTGCAGGTACCATCGTCGCTGTGACGGCAGAGCCAGATGCCCACCGGCACAGGACGTCAGCGCGTCGAGGGAGAACTCTGTCTGAAACAACCCATCCAACCATACCTCACGACAGCTTCAACAACATCGCAACCGTTCAAGCGGTCGTTGACTAATTCGATCGCGGAGAGGTTCGACCAAGCCTTGCCAACAACAGTGGCGCGAAATCTCACGAGAGCCAAGACTGCCAGATGGAAAGCTGCCAAGCTCGCGACGGATCAAGCTCCTTTCGTGAGGAGTTTCTCCCCGATTTTCCAGGGCCCAGACTGTTGGCCCTCCGGATAGGTTCCGGCATTTAGGTCTTGGGAATGAGCGGTGACGCCTGGGTGTCCTCTTTTGCGCGGGAGTAGAGAAGATTGTCCTCGTTTCGAGATCCATTCGAGTTCCAATTTATTTTCTTGTCAACGCATGGCAAAGGCGTGTTGATGAGATGATATAGTAAATTGCATTGTCGTGTCCTGTCGAGTCGAGTCCATCTGTACAACGTGCCTCGCATCGTTCCATCGGCCGCCGGCGTCGATAACTCTCAGATAGTACCTGACTAAACCCGATTAGGAACATCAACAGCCAATCCGCAACCTTTCTGCAAATCTTGGGGGAAAAAAGCAGCCACCCGACTTTATGCCGTGCCGACACTGCTGACTCGACAAAGCACGACAGGAATAGACAAAACGACGAGCTCGTTGGTCGCAACGGTCGAAACGACATGCACCGCAACGGTGGTGTTCACCATCCTCCCGGGCTTCATCGTCTCTGGGGTTCTGAGGCGCGGTCGGTCCAAGCCGGCAGTTCTTTATTAGCGTCCCCGGAAACTTGACGATCACTCGTGTTGCGAGAGTCCACACCTGGCTAGAACTCGGCCAGGTTGTTGAGATCCGTTGATCCTTTCGCTTCTTGCCGCCTCGATGACCTCCGCTCACGACCCGAAACAACAATATTTTTCCTGAATGGCTGACAAACAAGGCCGGCCAAGTGAAGTGTTTGTTTTCGTAGCCCGCGGGCTATCATCACTCGTCTTTGGTGTTCAGCCGAGCTATGCCAACAAACCGACTTACACGTCAGCCACTGCGTATTGGCTACACTTCGCAATGTCGAAGAAACACAACCTGCCGTCGTGTTATCAGGCATCTGAGCACAGATCCAGATCAGGATATGCTGTGTCTGTTTGAGCAAGACACACACTCACCTATCCCACTCGCACATAGCCGAAAGACGTCAAGTTTCACAGGCACGACATCAACCGCTGACCTGGGAACTGCTGCCACGTTGTCTGCCAAAAAAGGCTTGTTAATGGGGATCCCGCATGGCTTTACTGACGCCGACTTGTGACGGCTCGGTCAAGCGGCGCAACGGCAGTTCGGTTGTCGATGGTGCACCTTTAGAGGTGGAGGGGTAGTATGCTGTGTATCCTGCCAATGTCTTGATTGCGGCGTTCTGACGAGGCCCTCAAGTAGATGAATGGTCCAGTCTATATTGGCCTTGAGTGGCTCATGCTGTATGTTGCGTGCCTTCAGTTAATATTGCTGTAAACTTTGGCCTGGTACCTATCTAGTAGGCCCTTTGGGAGCCTATGTCCTAAGAAACCTTTGACGCCAGTCTGGTCTGCCTAGCTTGCGTAGTTTATTTTTGTTCGGTTGAGAGAATTACCTTCATTGCCTCTCTAGACTTCTGGCGATGTTGTCTCACACCACACAGTATTAGCGCTCTAAAGCATTGGTCTCTTTCTCGGCTGCCTTGCGGCGGAGTTTACCTTCTTTGTATTGTTATCAGCTTAGGCATAGTCGATTCATGAATTCTGCTTCATCATGTGGCATTCAAGTACACTTCACCATCTCTAAAGGGCTATACTATGCTTCGGTGGATGGCACACTGGAGAGCGTTTTTCCTGTCCAGCATGGTGTTTTCGGTAAAAGTATGGAACGATCTACATTATTATGGGCTACCGCTTCAGGAGAGCAGAGTGGTATGAGGTGCTTCAGCAGAAGCCCATTTCTTCAAATTTTATTCATCGGTAGACACGTGAATTATGGGTGCTTTCAGGTTTGTTGAGTCTTGTTTGGTATCACTACCTGTGACTTGTGGGTCAGCTGGTCGATAGGTGATTCATCACAATCATAAGTCACGGGTATTGATAACAAACAAGACTCTACAAACCTGAGATCAGAGTACGAGAGGTTCATCGTAGGTAGAAGGCCTCCAGCAGCGTCCTTCACATATGACATAACTGCGAATGTTGGTGAGCGGCACCACTATCCCACCAATCGCAAAGAAAGAGCCTCATACGATTTCTTCAGCTTTTGCAAAACCATAGCTAACTCTTAGTTTTTTAACCAATAACGCTACAAGACTGTGTTGACATGCATGTAAGCAGCTGGAAACCCATAGAAGAGAGGCAACCAGTAATCAGTCGCGAGCTCTTATTCGTCAAACTATGAAATCGACGCATTGTCCCCTCGACGTCACTCCTATGACGATCATTTTACACAAGGGCCTTCCAGCCTCGGGATGGCACGAGAAGTTCATGCCCTCGAAACCCGGGTCTGAAGTTCTGTGTCGGAAGAAAGAAAGACTTGGGATGTTATTTCTTCCGAATTAGGAAGACCTTGGATGTGACAACCTGGGATACCGCTGGGTGATGATGCTCGGATGGCGAAGATCTTTCATGCAGGGACCATCAACTCCCCGAGTCTCTCCCTTTCTGAGGGTTTCTTGTGAGAGTGATACAGCTGCAATCACGGAGACTTAAGATGACAACAAGAGCCACCTGCTACAGAGGGCCACTTGGGCGATGTACAGTATCATCGAAAGTCGTCATTCGTCATTGACAAGATTTGTTATGGATGATGTGGCGCTGCTGAGGTCCCCTTACGGCTGAAGAAATGCAGCGGCATCGAGAGGGGTGTGGGTGGTTGCGCCACTTCTGTTAAGGAGTACCTGGAGTCAGCCTGCCGCTTGCTGACTAGCCAGCTGGCATAAACGCCTTCATCGAGTTCATCGTCATCAACAAGTCAGCACAGCCACCTATCAATCCTTCGTGTTGCGCAGTGATTGTGCCGGTACTTTTCTCTCACGGCAGCCTGCCTCAAAAGCCCCTACACTAAGTCTGATGTCGACAGCGATGGTTTTCTACCCTCATCGTAGGCTGCCGACTCTGCTATTTTGCTGTAGGACAGATTGGGCCCGAGAGGACCTGATCCGTTGTCGTGGCGTGCAGTCGATCTGCCAAGACGCCGAAAGTGTCGATGATTGCGCCTCAACACAGGCATCACAGAAGTGCCAGCCCCGTTGTTGGTGGCCGACGTCCCATTCAGGTCTCCTCTGCGCCGCAAACTGACATGCAGCCCGTGTCTTCCTTTCCCACGCCGGGCAACACACGCTGCTGGAACTGGACTGTGTGACGCCAGCTTTCTGGGGTTTTCTGCAGACTCGGCCTGCTGGTAACCCTACAGTGCCTACCTCCCCTCATCCCATCCAAACATGTCAGGTACGCTGAGAATGTGAAGAACGGGAAGGTGTGAGACAACTCATCCAACGTTAACAATTGATGAGGTTGGTGGCTTGATAGACCCCAAAACGGTTTAAGCGGCCGGTCTCCAGCCTCTCAACGACGTGGTTGCCCTCACTCAGAGCTTGGACCCTCTCTTGTACTCCTTAACAGACGTTCGGGCTTTTCCCGAACGTCGCACACGCGCTTCACAGCTGGCAGTGACCCCACAGGTCCGGGGGGCCACAGCGCCCATTTTTCTTCCTCAAGGTCCCCATCGCCTCAGCCTTCTTTCAACACCTTGCTTGGACTTTTGAGGCTCATTCACTTTCCCCAAGTCATCCAAGTCACACCGGATTCCAGAGACACCACCAGAGCGTCTGTTCAAAGCAAGAAACGTACGCTCCAAGGCCCCAATTGTAGTCAGACCACCGCAGACTTGTAATACCAGTAATTCTCTTCACTCCCCAATAGCCGTATCCAACGAAACCTCTGGCGGCCTTGCATCCCTCGGTCCTCGAACCCCGAAGCTCTCGCCACGATTCCCAGCTTCCCCAGCCACACCTCGACAGCCTCGAGCATTCCCATTATCACCGTCAACAACAACAGCAAATACTTGCCTCGGGCAATGCGTCTCGTCTGCCGGTGACATCCTGATTGCGACGGCATTATACTCGGGAGCCCCCAAAGTAAAAATCTGTGACTTTGGGTACCACCTATCTCCTTGAATTCCCCAACGGCAAAGCCACAGCGCGATCCTTATGGCCTCGAATCGAGGACCCACCGCGACAGAAGCTCAAGCTCCTCGCGCGCCCGCGACGGCGCTCACAGCCCAGAGGTCGCTGAAGCGCGCTCGCGAGACTACCCCGACATCGCCAGAGTCTGCCCACTCGGGTGATCTCTCCCCATCCAAAATCGCTCGCCTGATGGGGCTACATACACCCACTCTGACCGGCGCCGCCGCCCTCGAGGAGGAGAGACGACGGCGAGAGGAAGAGCATCAGCATCAGCAGCTGGCCTCGTTGGAGACGAGTGAAAACCCCAACCATAGGGCGATTGAAGAGCTCATGTCGGGCGTAGTGAACGCGTTGAGTCGGTCACACGATGCACCGGCGCCCGCCCCTCCACCGACGGGGGTCTCAGAGATCGAGGCAGCTGCCGCCGCAGCGGCCAGGGCCTTGAGCTCAGTCACTATACCAACGGGGGAGAACCCAATCAGCGAGCTACAAGATGTCAGCCCCCAGAGCGGGACAAGCGGAGCGAGTCTCGAGGATGCTGAAGGACAGGTTGTGCACAGCCCTGCAGCAATGGACATTGACGGGCGTGGTGATCAACGCATGTATGCGCCGCAGCCAGATGCTCAGATGGATGAAAAAACGGCCAATTCTCTTTCATACCCGGGAGTTCTCTCACCACAGGGCAACATGCCGGCACCTGGTGCTCCCCAAAGGGGGATGAGCATGCCTATGCCACCATCCCAGGGCTCCGACATGGAGCCTCGGTCACCTGGTAACAGCAACAAGAAGCATAAATGCCCGTACTGCCAAACGGAATTTACACGTCATCATAATCTGAAGAGTCATCTTCTCACCCACAGTCAGGAGAAGCCGTTTATCTGCAGCCACTGCCAGCAACGCTTCAGACGTCTCCATGACCTTAAACGGCACGGGAAGCTACATACTGGCGAAAAGCCGCATGTTTGCCCCAAGTGCGACAGGAAATTTGCTAGGGGAGATGCCCTGGCGAGACACAGCAAAGGAGCAGGTGGCTGCGCCGGGCGAAGATCAAGCATGGCCGGCTTTGGCGAGGAAGATTACGAGGCCAGTGGTGCAGATGACTCTGCCATGTCTGGTGTTTTGTACGATGCCAATGCGAGCGGCGATATGGCGGACGATGAGCGGCGACGCTCGTTGCCTAGCATCAAGGCTCAACACGTTCCCGGACAGCCAGGCGTGGACGGCTATGCCGCGCATTCCAACACATATCCCCCGGTTGGACAGCGACCAGGTGGCTTATATCCTCCCAACGTCGACCGTGGTTCTACAAGTTCTAATACTTCACCCACCGTTCCCAACAACCACACCCCTCACACGAGCATCTCCTCGGTGCCTTTAAGCGCTGGAGGTGCTTCTATGTATTCCCAGAGCGGCATGACGGAGAGTCCCAAACCCCTGAGCCCCGGAGCAGCACAGGCCAACCAGGGTCTTCTCCAGCGATCGCCGCACGAGACCCATCAGGCGGCTTCGGGGCTGTCTCTTCCAGCGCACGGTATGTCACCAACAGCTAAGCAAGCCTGGCTCTCCCAGTATCCCCCTGCTGACCGAGATGCTATCAAAGGCAACACCGCGCCAACCGCTCAAGCCACGGGACGCGGTCGTGGTCGCGCTGCTAGCGGAGCGGCACCGCCAGCCCAAGGGGCACCTCCTGCAGACGGCAACCTATTTGGGGCGGAACAACAACAACCTTACTGGGTGTTGCTCCAACATTTCGACGAGCGTCTGAAACAAATGCAAGACCAAGTGGCCGCTGAGATTTCAAAGGCCAGTGCCCCGCTGTTGGAAAAGATCAATATCCAGGATCAGCACATTGCGGCTCTGTCCGCCGAGGTGGCTTCGTTACGGCAGCAGTTGCAAGGGCAACAAGAACCGCCGTTACCACAGGGGCAAGAGCAGCAAGAAGCGGAGCAGCCACAGCATCAGCAATTACAGGAGCAGCAGCCGCAGCAGCAGCCTGAGGCGCCAAATGAGGTAGCAGTGCAAGAGTAGGAACGCTTGCAGCTGGCTTATACAGGTTCCGAAGGAAGCGATGGGGGAGCTCAAGGCTCCTTGCAGCGGATTGGGATCAATATGCGTCACGCACTGGAGGAGAGGGGGTGGACAAATAGTCCGAGTTATTCTGTGCATTTGGGGGGGTTTTGACACCCAGTCTGGTAAGGCCACCGCTACCATGCGATAGTGAAGGATAGATGGAGGGAGGGTATCCAAAGAAACAAACAATAGTGGTGTTTGGCGAGAAGAGAAGGGCGGTAGCGGCCAAACATCCCCAGGAACTGTGGGCCAAGCGCGGGGGGTTGTAACTACTACATTCTGTTTGCATCTTTGTTGCACATATTTGGAAGCTAGTTTCCAGGGCAGAAGTTTTCGGTCATCAGGGCTGGGTAATGGTGAGAACAGTTATGTTCTTGGGGCATGCCCATATAGTGACATTGTATGAGAGGGGGGTTATCCATTGGCGCTATTTAGATCAGTGTGCCTCGAGGCAATAAAAGGTCTATTTTATATGTATTGGGCGGGCGGGCGGCTGAGATTTCTCCTTCCATGATTGTATTATATAGTGATGAGAAAGCAACAGCCTCTGGTTCTTCAATCCCGTCTGTGAATGCCTGCCCAAAAACGTGTTACATCTTTTGAGCAGGGCCAGGGGGCGGGGCTTTTGGAAAAGTCTTGGCGACAGGTGACAGCCACCGGGGGGGCGGCCCCACCGGGACGTCATCACCTGGAATGGGTTCGGCTCGGCTCTTAGCGGCACGTAATACGGCGCAAGGTGGAAGGAAGGGCAGTAAGCTCAGGGTTCAAGTCATCTAACCATCTCATGAGGCTCTTCTCACGTTTGCTGCCATTTTCATTGAAACAAAGAAGGAGCACGACGTTTGATAATTCGAAGCTTTTTGTTATCATCAGCTCGGCGAAACTTTGTAAGTTGTGAGAACTTACATCGTAAACACGTCTTGATAAGAAGCCGAATCTCCCGATCCGTCCACCCTCCCTCCCATCGTGCACGTCCACTATCTACCTTCGACAACGCGGGTTAGAAAGTTAAACTTTGGGACCGACAGATTCCCCCCCCCCCCCCCCCAATTCCAGTGCACGAATAGTGTTTTTTTTAATGGGATTAGGGATCGCGCGTCCGGAGTCTGTGTTTAGGGGGAAAGTTTGATAGGTACCTACCTCCTAGATTGGGTGTTATCCCCCCCCCCCTTTCCTTTTCTTTTGTTCTCTCTTGCTAAGGTGAGCAGTGGATTTATTCTCTTTTTGTTTCGTTCATTTTTTGGCTACTGTTGTTGTTGTTGTTGTTGTATAGTTCATCATGGACCGCGAGAGCGGTTCTACGGGGACGCCCCCTGTTATCACGAAGAAGAAGGGGAAGAAAACGGCAACGAAGAATAAGGGTGTTGACGCGAATGTAGGGACTTCTAACTTGAAGGAGACGATTACGGCGGACGAGCCTGCTGCTGCGAGTTCGAGTGTTGTGAAGGAGGTGGTGGTGGTGCCGAGCACGCCAAAGAAGAGCAAGGGGAAGAAGGGGAAGAAGGGTAGTGCTGTAAGTTGACTGCTTGCCATGGGATAGGTTGTTGGGTTGCTGACACTGGAGGTAGAGCTTGGACAGTCACATCGAGTCATCCTCTTCCAAGACACCACAGCAAGAACAACAACCCAAGAAAGCGGCCGTGATAGGCTCGAATATGGCATTGGCCGAGTCGACGGGGGATTTCTTCGAAAAGGCAGCGGATGAGCTTCCTGTCAAGACAATGGCAACGTCAAATTCCAAGGGTGTGCAAGTCAATGGTGTGAATGGCGTCCGTGGCGGCCTGGATGACGAAAAGGAAAGACCAAGCGAAAAAGAAAATAGGCTTGTCAATGGTGAACGGAGTGGGACAGCTACTCTCACCCAACGGAAGCAGCAGAAGAGTTCCGCTCTCAAAGTCAAAGACAACGACTACCCACCGCTTTACGATGACGACGAACGGGAGGATCGCCGACTGGACCGAATTCAGGCCTATCGAGCTGCCGGGATCCGGTTCGCGCCGTGGAATATTCCTTATCGACGCCGGATGCAGACCGTAGCGGTTATCATCCACTGCCTTAGCATCGCGTCGACGGTGTCGTTTTTCTTTTTCCTGTGCGCCATCCCGATCTTTTGGCCGCTGATTATCCCTTACCTGCTGCACATGTCGCTGTCCAAAAACGCCACCGACGGGAGGTTGCGGATGCGTTCTGAGCGCTGGCGAAGGCTGCCGGTTTGGAAGCTGTTTGGGGAATACTTCCCTGCCAAGTTGCACAAGACACACGACTTGCCCCCGACGAGGAAGTACATTTTTGGGTATCACCCCCATGGCATCATCTCCCACGGAGCGTTTGCTGCTTTTGCCACCGAGGCACTGGGGTTTTCGGAGAAGTTTCCGGGCATCACCAATTCACTGTTGACGCTAGATTCCAACTTTAGGATCCCGCTCTACAGGGATTATATCCTCGCTTTTGGGCTTCAGTCTGTCTCCAAAGAGTCGATAACCAACATCTTGACCAAGGGCGGGCCGAACAACGAGGGGATGGGCAGGGCGGTGACGATTGTGGTTGGGGGAGCTAGGGAGTCGCTCGAGGCGCAGCCGGGGGTGATGAATCTGGTGCTGGCGGACAGGAAGGGGTTTGTCAAGATGGCCATTAGGACGGGAGCCGATCTGGTGCCGGTGCTGGCGTTTGGGGAGAATGATCTGTATGATCAGCTTAGTCCGAAGACGCACCCTTGGTTGCACAAAGCCCAGATGTGGGTGCTGAGGACGTTGAAGTTTACGTTGCCGTTTCTGCACGGGAGGGGGATTTTCAACTATGATGTTGGACTGATGCCGTACAGGAGGAGACTGAATATTGTGGTGGGGAGGCCGATCATGGTGGCGCAGAAGAGGGAGGGGGAGATTGAGAATGAGGAGGTGAACAGGCTGCATAGCGAGTATGTGGGGGAATTGGAGAAGATGTGGGAGAGGTATAAGGATGTGTTTGCGGCCGGCAGAAGGGGGGAGATGAATATTTTGAAGTAGTTTTTCCTTTTGAGGATTTTGCGAGGTTTATAGACATTTGTTTTTTTTGGTTTGGTGATTCGGGTGTGGGAGCTAGTGTGCGAGGAACGCGTTTCGAGTTGAGCTCACGTGGTTGTTTTCTTGGTTGTGTAACGTAACGAGGATGGCGGAGAGAGGGTGAGGCACGGCAGCTCGGTTTTCTAAAATGTATTAATCCTGATAACAATTCATGTATTTTCTTTGGGCAACTGATGATTTTCATGTTCAACACCGGGTGTTTGCAGCAGCGTGACCACACCGCCTATCACAGCCAGAAGCAATGAAGGCTCCGTGCTCTCCGCTTTCCAACCTGAGAGCAAGGCTCGGGGCAGGTGACCAAACGATGAATTTCACGACTCTGTATCACCCGTCTGAAGAAAGGCAAACGGCTTGCTCTCGGGCAGGTGAGTATGTTCAACCCTCCCAAACAGCAGGAAAATCCCGTAGATAACAAGCCGTGACAGAGTTGCTCCTTCACGGCCACCGAGGATCTGTTGTTCGCGATGGCTCCTACCCCATCCATCGAGTCAGCACCCCCACCACCACCATCACCAGGCATAAAGTCTTCCATCGTACCTCCAGAGAAAGAATCGACACCTACAGAAATCACACCTCAACCTATAACCAACCGACCAGAATCACGCACAACGACCAACAACAAAAAACAGGAACCATGTGAACCGCCCTCTAGCTGCTTCTCCTCCCCTCGGCCGTACCACCACCACCCACCACCGCAGCCGAGTTTACTTGTCACCGCGCACAAGACCCACGACTACCGCCACGAGTTGTTGCCGTTCAGAAGAGAATGGTTTATGACCCATCCCACCAAGCTGGCGATCATCACGGCTCTGGTCATTGCCCTGCAAGTGGCAGTATGGGGGTTTCTGTGGGGCGTTTTTGGTGTAGGACCAAGTGAGGTGAGTGGGTTTAATGACGTCTCTTTTACTGCAGTTGGGATGAAACACATGTGGTTTTGTTACTCGCGTTGCCTAGGTAGTGTATGCTGTGCATGTATGTATGTGTGTGCATATGCTCGGGGTAGTCAGCAGGAGTGGTTGGTTGGTGGGTGGGGGTGGGTGTTGACAGAAGAAAAAGAGGATGGGTGAAAAAAATCGGAGCAGTTTGGTCAGAGAGTTGCTGTTATTTTGACTTATATCCGGATCTGTTGAGGTACATGGTCGTCGAGGTGGTGCTGGTGGTGGTAGTATAAACAACTGTTTTATGCCCATCCCTTGTCATTTTCAACATCTGTGGTTATACCAGTCTGCGGTATACTCAGTCATTATGATTTTCGCGACGTTACTGATAATTTCCTCTTTGTTATCCCAGACCACCTCAGCGTCGTCACCACCCCCCATAGCAAACCTCACCTACGCCGCCTTCTCCGGCCTCACCCTCCCAAACTCCGTCAACCAGTTCCTCGGCCTGCCCTACGCCCAGCCCCCAATTGGACCCTTCCGCTGGCGGTCCCCCTCCCCTCCTCTTCCTTCCTCGTCAGGATCAGGCCCAATACCAGCCACCGAGTTCAAACCCATCTGTCTTGGGACGGGGGTGGCATACCCGACTCCGGGGCAGTCGGAAGACTGTCTTTATGCCAATATTTGGGCTCCGGCGAATGCAACGAGTGAGAGCAGGTTGCCGGTGTGGGTTTTTATTCAGGGAGGGGGGTATAATGCTTTGTCGAATTACAACTGGAATGGGAGTGAGGTTGCCCAGAGGAGCGGGCAAAGCGATGTGGGAGGAGAAAAACTAATGAATATGCAGAAGTATAAAGAATAATGACATCATGCAGGACTGTATGTAGGAATACATAATACTAAAGTAGCCTCACAAAAGAGCAATACTACACGCATAGTTATCATAATGT